AAACGTCAATCATGTCAGATTGGTTCATAATGTTCAAATCATTTCTAGTTCTTACTGACCTTTTCCTATCAACTACTGAAGGAGAAGTACTGAAATCTCCAACTAGAACCAAGTTTAAGTGTATTTCTCCTACACTTCTGTCAAACTTTTCTTTATGCTATTGAATCTCTGTTATAAACTGCATGCACATTTAGGATTTACAATTTAGAAATAATTAACACCTAACATTGTGGAGTGATCTACTTTATCTGCGGTAATATGTTTTGTCTTGAGTTTTGTTTTGTTCTGATATTAACATAGCCACACTTACTCCCATTTGGATTTGGCATCATTTCAATCCACTTTCTTTCAAACTATCTATGGCATCATATGTAAATGTGTCTATTGTTAAATAGAATCAATAAATATGAGAGATGCCCTCTTAAAAAAAAAAAGCATTAATCTACACACCCAAAAAGCTCCATAAACACCAGGTAAGATAAATGGAACAAGACCCACACTTAGACACATCACAGTCCAAATTTTAAAAGACAAAGACAAAGAGAAACTCTTGAACTCAGAAAGAGAAAAGCGGCTAATCGTTTACAAGGGAACTCAAATGATATTAGCAGTTGTCTACTAATCAGAAAAAAATGGAGGATGGAAGACAACATATTCAAGGACAGGAGTAACATATTCAAAGATTTGGAAGAAAAACTGCCAACAAAGAATTTTATAGTCAGTGGAACTATTTTAAAAAATGACGGTGAAATAAAGACATTTCTGAGATAAATAAAAACAGAGAAACTCTGTTAGCAGACCTGCCTTACAGGAAATACTAAGAGGAAGACTGTCAGGTTGAAAGCCAGTGACAACAGAAGGTAATTCAAATTCACAGGAAAAAAACAAAAAATATCAACAAAGCAATTACACAGGTAATTATAAAGATAGTATGATGGCATATTTCTTCTCCTTTTTTCTCTGATCTAAAAGGCAATTGCATAAAACAATATGTATATAACTGCACTGTTGGGTCGACAGTGTACAGAAATGTAACATATTTAACAACAACTGTAAAAGGAAGCAGCAGAGGAAGGAAATGACACCTAGGGGCAACCTGAATCCACAGGAAGAAATGAAGAGCACCAGAAATAGCAAGTAAAAAGGTTAAAACGATAAACTCTAAATGTAGTCTTGCTCTCTCTCTTTTCTTCTTTCAACTTCTTTAAAAGACATGCAATGCTATAAGGTAATAACTATAAAAATGTGTTTTTGAGTTTTAATGTACATGGACATAATATGCATAATAATAACACAAAAAATGGGAGAAGGATATAGAGCTATATAAAAATGCAGTTTCTGTATATCCCTGAGATTCAGTATAAATCTGAAGTAAATGCTGAGACAAGAGCAATCACTATTAAAAATAACTGAAAAAAATACAGTAAAAGTAATAATAGGGGAATTAAAACAGTACGTACACCAGAAAATATCCATTAGGAAAGAAGACAGTAGGGAAAAACAGAAGAATAGAGATATGAGACATATAAAAGGCAAGTATCAAAATGGCAGATGTAAATTCTACCTTAGCAGTAATTACATTAAATGTGAATGGATTAAATGTAGGCAAAAGGTAGAGATAGGAAGAATGAGTAACAGCAGTAAGATCCAAATATATGCTGCTTACAGGAGACACACTTGAGATTCAAAGAAACAAACAGGTTGAAAGTAAAAGCATGGCACTGATATACCATGTAAACAGTTGCCAAAAGAGTGACAGAGGCTATACTAATATCAGGCAAAATAAATTCAAAGGCAAAATGTTACCGAAGACGGACATGCCATATTGATAAAAGGGTCAATCCATCTATAAGATATAACAGTTATAAACATATGTGTACCTAAAAACAGAGCCCCAAACACATGAGATTAAAACTGACAAGAACTGAAGAAAGAAATAGATAATTTAACAATAAAAGCGGAAGACTTCAATACATTAACAGTTGGCAGAAAACAAAAAATATGTAAGGCTTAACACTAATAATCAGCTAGACCTAACAGACACATGCAGAACGTTCCCCACAGAAACAGCAGACTAACATTCTTGTCAAGTGGCTATGGAACATTCTTCCACCATAGAACATATGCTAGGCCCTAAGACAAGACTCAGTAAACTTAAAAGAATTGAAAATATACAAGGCATGGTCTCTGACCACAATGTGATGAAATTAAAAATCAGTAACAGAAGAAAATTTGGTAAAATCACAAATATGAGGAAATGAAAAACACACTCCTAAATAACCAACATGCCAAACAGGAGAACTGTGTAGGATGTGAATTGTATCTCAAGACAGTTGTTTAAAAATGTGGTTCAAAGTAAAATTTCCCCTTAGAGCTGGTCCTTCCAAGTGATGAAAGGCCCCCAGGCCCCTCTTTTAGGATCCCATGAATATTTAGTGCTTGCAAATCTCCCAGTTTCATAAGGTTCAGAGTTGGGGCCCAGTAAGTTTATGAAGAAAAGAACTCTGGAAAAAGTATGGGCCTCACTCTCATCCACCAGGAGCAGACAGAACCCGGGCAAGGGAGTTCTTAGTTTGGACTCCACAGGCCTCAGCTGGAGGTGATCATCAGAGGCTCTGGGGACCTGGACCCCCAGATAGCAGGTGAACTTCTGCACATGGGTAGAGAGAGCCTCTGTGCCTTTCATCAGCTTCCTGGTAGAGCCCTTGACACAAAAAGCATTAGGAACCACAAGAGGCTGTGGGAATTACAGAAGGAGCCTTCCTCCTGGCTTAGGGCTGGCCAAGCAGGAGGAGGACAGGCCCCTTGGTCACTCAGCTACATATTCCTGTGTACCCCACTCAGTCCTGCCCAAAGGCCTAGTGGGAGAAATGGACCGGGGAGTGGACACTCGGCCTGCTTCTCAAGGCCACCCTACTGGTGTGTGTCTTAGAAGGACATTCAAAACCCTCCTTCAACCTCGGCTCCATCCATTATATGAGGATCATAGACTCCTTGCAGGATTTAGTGTGAATCCCACACCCGTCTCTCCTGCTACTCCTGACTCCCCCCAACCTTCCCTCCCTTCCCCCATCACTTCCCTCCCTCCCTCCCTCTTCCACTGGTGTAATGTGTGTGTTTGCATTTACCTATACATGCATAAGGGCATGTACACATGCATGTATGTGCCTAACTCACTGCCTGAATGCATCTAATTATTTTCTATAAAAATCAGGTGAATTTGAATCTCTAAACACCCTATGAGTATGAGAGGACACAGACTGAAGGCTTCCTACCAATCCATTTTTGAGAATGCTCTCATGAACTCCAGACCCCCAGTCTGGCTGCTCTAGGGAAGGCCACAGATGCCTTGGCATTAGGTGGGAGGGGATGGTGGCCTGTCAGAGGTGCTTCAGCACAGTCTGGAGACATGGGGTGGGATGACCGCAGACTTGGCTGAGGACAGAGGGGCCTGCCCTGCCTCATGAAGCCTGGCCCATACACAGTAATCACTTGAGTAGTGGTCACCATATTCAACCACTAATAGCTCAGCTGCAGAGCTAATGAGCCATCGCCAGGAACTCGCCTGTGATGCCTGCCTGTCTGTCTCAAGAGCAGCAGGCCCAGGAATTAAGGACAGATACAAAGCAGGTGCCATGCACATGTGTCTCCAACTGCTGAAACAGTGCCTGCTGGGAGGCTGACCCACCAATTCCTGACATGCTGCTTTTGGTGAAGCAGCTAGAACAAGGTGCTGCTCCCTACCACAGAAAGGCTGCTCAGTCTCTACGTTTCACCTGGCAGCCCCCAACTTCAGATAAATTTGCCTTCCAGACATCTGCAGGGCAGCCACTGCCCCCATGCCCCAGGATACAGCACAGGCAGGGGGCCCACCGTCCTGGTGAACAAAACTCGGAGCTCAGTGGTGCTGGTGTCATGCCAACACCTACCTGCTGTCCTGTCCCCCTTGGAGTTCATATACAAACTACCGTTTAAAATAAGCCATTTTCTTGAGATGGATTAATGATTGTACATTGAGCGTTGACCCCCCTATACTGAATTTTATTGTTGTTAACAACCATTTGATCAATAAATATGAGAGATGCCCTCTCAAAAAAAATAAAAATAAAAATAAAAATAAAAGAAGCCATTTTATTGAGCCTCAGAGATTAATAAGGCCTGAATTCAGGTCAAAATGAAGGTGAGACTTATTTTAGATTAAATATTGATTTAGAGTATGAATGCCAAGAGGTGGGCTAGGCCTACATGTCCAGCAAGTGACTTGGTGATGTCCCCCCTTCAAGGCTTGGTGTAGCTGAAATAAAAAGTTCAGGACTGATAGGAAACCACCTCTGTAACTGCTGCTTCAGCCTGTTTTGCTGTGCATGTCCTGAGACAGTGCTCTTGTGGGGACTGAGCCCTGCGGAGCCTCCCTGGCTGCCCCCTGGAACGTCCTTCCTGAGGCTTTGCCCACAGACATGCCGAGCTCCACAAATGGGCACCCCGACCCAGAGGAGGCCTGATGTGCGCAGGTCCTCAGGCACGCCTTTTTAGTGTCTCAGACCTGCCGTTCCTGATTCTCCCCTGAGCATAGTGAAGCAAGAGTGGGATGGGCTGGTGGGAGAGAAGAGAATGCCAGGGCTGGTGTCCCCATTCCCATCTGCCATGAATGCTCAGGCCCTCTGCTCTAGACCCAGCTGGGGTCTAGAGTCCACAAAAGTCATCTCTGGACAAAATGAGGTTAATTTCTGAAAACAAAATGGAAAGAGAATGGGCGCCCTGATCAGAAGGCTCAGGGTATTGGGCAGGGTATTGACCTGAGAGCTGGCCCAGGACCAGGGGCCCCAGGACACTATGAGATGAAGCATGTCCCTTCTGCAACTGTAAATCAGAGCCACTTGGCACTGGCTTTGCCTGCTGGGTGCGGCTGCTGTGGGACTCAGAGGAAATAATACGTGTGCCCATGAGAAAGCAGAGGCTAGTCATGGGAAGGGAATGGGAATGGTGGCCACGGCACTGACCTCAGACTCTGAAGCGTCCACCGACTTCTCTTTGAGGTCTGCGCCATCGGTTAGCACGGCTCCGTCGTATTTGCTGCAGAGGTCCTCATCGGAGTAGCGCAGCCCACCAGGGCTTGGCCGGGGTGGGGACCTAGGACAGCAGGGGACCATGAGTCACCTTGGTTCAGGGCAGCTCTGGGCAAAAGATCCCTTGCCCGGAGGCCTCCTGACCTGCCCACTAGCTGTTATCATGTCTGAATGAGAGTGATCTATGGCCTGGGACTCCCCTCTGGCTATGGGTGCAAAAAGTTGCCAGTCTGCAGCAGCTCAATGTGGCCCCAGGGGAAGTCGGCTTTGCTGGCCCGGGTGCCCAGCCAGCTGACCGAGGGCCAGCCTGGGATCTGGGCGGCCCCCTAGATCACTTCCTCATGCACCCAAGATGTGCCTTTGTCTCAGCTCCAGAATGCATTTTGAATACCTAGAGGCTACAGCCCCGCCCCATCCCACCCTCCTGGAGTCAACGCTGCCCTATGGGATTCAGGGGGCCCAGGGGGCATGGGGGCCTGCCTTCATCCAGGCCCCTGGCCCCGGCGGGCTCAGGTCTTCAGGCAGACACTGCACACCTGAGCTGCAGATGCTGCGTCCCTACCTGGTTCCGTTCTTCTTTGAGAAGGTGTTCTTGACATTGAGGTGGCGGCTGTTGAGCTCCAAGGCAGCAAATCCTCCGTTGTCCAGGGTCACGGATTCTTCCATATTGGAGATGCTCTTCCCTAAAGCCGGCAGGGCAAATGAGCATAGATGTTTCAGTGAAGTACCTGCTGCAGCTCCGCTGAGCCAGCGCAAGTCTGCCCACAGGGGCCACTGAGCACCTGCTGAACTTGAGGCCCAGGCCTCACTCAGTGTGCAGGGCAGAGTGGAGATGGGGAGACGATTTATATATTAATTATTGAACTCAAGCAGAATGACAATATGAGCATTTCAGGGTTTGTTTTGCAAGATGCCACAATACCAGTATCCTTATCATTGTTTTTAGCAAAACGTACTTGGAATGCGTAAACTTTTTTAAAATTTGGGAAAATTGAATATTTAATAATTTTTAAAAGAAAAAACTCACATCACATAACAAAACAGTAAATAGAAATGAAATGTGAGGGGGTGGTGGCTAAGGAGGGCAGGGCTTCTTTCTGGGGTGACGGAAATGTCCCAAAGTTGATGGTGGTTGGTGGTCACATAGATCTGTCAATGCACTAAAAACCACTTAAAAAAGTAAATTTATAAGTATATGTTAAAACATATTCTAACAGATACTGACAGATCAAGTGAGAAACAGTAAATGCTGTAAAAAAACCAAAGGGCCTGAAGGGTTTGGGATGGCTTCCCATATCCTTCGGCATGAAAGGCCAAGTCCCCAGTTGTCCTTGGCCTGGGCAGTCTGCTCCTGTCCCCCAGAAACCCCTGCCCCCGATATCCTCCTAGCATACTCTCCCCCTTCCTCAGATTGCAGTGCAAATGTCAAGGGACTAGAGAGGAGTTTCCAGACCAAAGAGCAACTTCCCCCTTCCCCACCTCTGCCACTCCCAGGCTTCTGTCCAGGTTTCCCCCTGCCTTATTCTCCCCCACGGTGCCCACACCACCTGCTGTACTGGTCCTATATTGTCATGTATCTGCTTATTTCTTATTGTCTGCCTCCACCTTTCCCTACTAGACCACAGCTCCTGAGGCACAGATTTTACTGCTGTAGCCTCCAGGACCACACCTGTGCATGTGCCAGGGGCTTGATCCCTGCTTGTCAAATCCTTTGCCTTCCTGAAACCCACAGATCTCTCTGCTGGGAACCTAGCCTCCTCCACAGGCCTTCACGTTCTCCTCGTGAGCAGCAGAAGCCAGTGGCACACGGAGGGTGGTGGAGGGGAGGGTAGCTGCTGGCGAGGAGGGCTCTCGATGGGCAGGGGGTGGTGAGCAGTGGAAACCAGCATGGGACCTAAGTCGGTCCCAGGGGGTAAAGTAGGCCATTTAGGGGGCCACACTGTGCCCTGGGTAGGGAGGCAGACATTCCCATAGACAAGTTCTTTCTTTTTCTAGGCCTCAATTAAGATGTTAAATGAGCACTCTGGGTAAGGCTGAGTATCTGAAGCTGTGGGTCAGATTTGTCTTCTCAGGTCTGTTTTCCAGATGGGGACAGAGCAAAAAGTGGGAGATTGGTGTGCACCAGGCACAGGATTCTGCAACAGCATGAGCTCAGGAAATGACACGCCACTCATATGTTGCAAATCCCACAGGAATAAAATCTGATCTATAAGCACTGCTAGAAGTGAATTTATACAGAAGAAAATAAACCCTTTCCTGGGGGGATGAATTGCTTAAGGTCATGAAAACAGATGGTGAGGTGCCTAAGGTGCCTGGCTTCCTGAGGCTTTGGGCATGGTGAAGGAGGGTGCTGGAGGCTGGGGCACCCTGTCTCAGCGCCCAGTCCCTGGCCCTGGAGGGCTAGCGTGGCTAACTCTGCAGGGAGCCTTACCAGGGACCCGCCCACCTAGGGGGGAAAGCTGGAGGAGCCAAAAGGAAAAAGTCCCATGGAGCTGGGCTCTGTCAGGTTCTGTCCTGCGGCGGGATGATGCTAGAGGCCTGCTCACCTTCCTGGGCCAGCACAGCTGTGGCGGATGCTACGTGGCACCATAACAGACCATGGCTTAAAGCATAGCAGTACTCTAAGAAGCCATTTCACTGGTAATTGTGAGAATTCAACAACTGAGGATAAGCAAATGTACAAAGTATCTGGAGTGGCATTTCCTTGTCACGTGGGCAACACACAGAGGCCTGGAATACTTCTGGCACCCTGCAGGCTCTCCCATGGGCCTTCTCTGTTTATACTCCGCCAAGGTACAACCCCCACCCTGGGCTCTGGGAGCACCTGCCTGCCTGGTTGGCCCCGACCTCCCTGTAAGTGGAGCTGCACTCTATGGGCTCTTTGGTGGCTAGCTTTGCCTGTGTTCGTTTGTCCATTTCCCTAATGATGGTGCGACATTCGGCAAAAGATATTTACTGAGCACCTACTATATGGAGGCATGGAGCTTGTGCTGGAAGCACAGTGGGGAACCGGCCTCAGTGGGCTCAGAGCTGGAACATGGGGCATGAAGCAAGGTACAAAGTCAGTCAGTGAGGAAGGCTGCATTGCAGTGGTGCTTCTGTAGCACCCTGTGAGCCACACACATTGATGAGATGTGGCCCCTCACTGTTCTTATGAATAGGCTGAGAATTAAACAGAATTGCTTCTGTTTAATGTTTTACATTTTCTAATCATATGCAAAAATAGACTGCATTAGACCAATGGCGTAGATTAGGGAACCAAGGCTCAACAGAGACCAAATGGCCTGAATGACGAATCCAAGTCATGTGGCCAATTTGAGGGCAGAGCCAGGGCCAGGATCTGGGCCACTGAAGCCCAGGGCTCTTGTTCTGCCACACTTCTGAAAGGGAGTCTGGTGCATCCATTTCATCCCTACAGGCACATGGAATGGAACGTAGGTGGTGGCACCACAGATCCAGCAGAGAAAAAGACAAAACGAACATTCTGGCTCAGGAATGCCCAGGGCAGCTGGGAAACAGGAAAACGAAGGCGGATGCCCCACCTGCACTGCAGTTCTTGTACTTCTTGTTCTGGCCATGCAAGACCAGGGTGAACACCACCAGCAGGACGACGATCAGGCTGGAGAGTGCCATCACCAGGAGGAACCACCACTCCTCGTAGAACGGGGCCTCCACTTGGGCTGCAGGGAGCACAGTCACACTGAGAGACCCGCCATCCAAGTGGGGGGTTCCTGGGGAGGGGGAAGGGGGGCTAGGCCGGGTATCCTGGTGTCACGGGAGGCCCGAAAACCACTGCAGGCTCTGGGTGATCGCGGCTGCTGGACCACTTCCCAGAGGCGATACTCAGCGTGGCCGGCCCTCCTGCAGGCTTCGGGAGTCAGGCAGTGCTTTCCCACTGTCTGCACGGGAATGGGCTCAGTGCCTCTCAGGGGCCCACGCTGCCCCCTGACCCCAACACTTCTCTACCCCGGAACCTGCCCTGTCCTGTCCGTCAAAACTATCTATCATGTTTATTACTCCTAATTTCACCTGCTTACAAATGCTGTCCGGGTCAAAGGCAGGAAGGTATAAAAGCTCTTGGAAGTCCTCCTTTCTCCAAGCGCCAAGGCTTCCCTCCTGGGCAGCCCGAGGGCTCTGGCCTCCATCTCCGCAGCCTCTGCCTGGGCCCCACCACCTCTCGCCTGCTCCCGCACCCTCCCCCAGCTGCTTCGCCTCGTGACTTGCTCAAACCCATTCTCTACACTGCTGCCAGAGATCATTCTCAGCGGGAGACAAGGCGCCCCTCCTGGCAGTTTTCAGCGGCACTGCATTGGCATGGGGTACAGTCTCAGACCACGAGGGCCCCGAGACGGGAGCCCTGCGTACCCAGTGCTGGATCCCGTCCACACCTGCGCAGAGACCTCCCGTTGATGCCCTCACTGCACGTCTGTCTACCTGCCGTTCCCCTCCCCCACAGCGGCCCTGCCAAAGGCTGGGGCTGTTTATTTATTTTGTGCCTTCAGCAAAACTGAGTTGGAACAATTGGCCCCAGCTTTAGAAAACGTTTTTTGAGAAATGAATAGAAAGAAAAGGTGTCACTTAAGCTGCCTTGAAGAGGGGAACCCTTCTTCCTCAGGTTTTATTCTGTTTACTAAGAACAGAAAATGGGCATTGTTTCTTGGTAGGGGCCGGATGACCCTGGGGTCCGCTTAGCGCCTTCCGAGTGTCCCCTGCAGGGAAGCTTGTGTGGAACAAACGGAAGCCTGGTACAGTGAAGTCCAAGGTTGGCCTCTCAGCTGCCGAAACCCACAGAGAACAGCTACTCAGTGTTAAATATGTCACTGGATGGATGAGAAATGTGTGTGCGCTGGGAATACGGGGGAGTTTGCTTTGCGTAATGTACACCACAGGGCTCTTAGGAGATGACAGCACTTTGAATCCAAAGTAGATAAGCTGGTTTTCAGGCTGTACATGTGCATCTACCTAATGAAGTTGATGGATCCCAAAGTGGCCTCCGGATGTGGCCCACAGTGGATATGGGAAATAGCGGAAGTGGCCCTGCTGGGAAGGAGAGGGGTGGAGACAGGAAGTGGCCTGGGGTGGGGGAGGAAAAGAAAGGCCTCAGTGCCCTGCCATCTCTGGGGAGACGCCGTGGCCTGCGCAGTTGCTCCTGAGTCTGCTGGCGGTGACGATCTGCTGGCCCTTCCAGAGGATGGGATAAGCTGACAATTCTGTGGGCATCCAAGGCCAGCCCTGGGACGCTGTGGGTTTCAGAGACATGTTCAAGTCGCAGTGCCTGCACCAGAGGTGTGAGGGAGCCGGGTCCTCAAGCAGGAACCAGCCTCCGTCCTCAGCCCTGTGTGCAGGATGTGGGGCTCCGTGCACTTGGAGCAGCGCTATACGGTTTTTCACTGACAAATGAAGCCAGGCAAGTCATGTATTGCTGAACTGGGGTGATGGGTGCTGGGGATTCTTCATTCCTGTCTCCCTGCTTTGGAGTATGCTTGAATTTTTTTTTTATTGCAAAAATGAAGGAAATGAGAACATCTTGATTTTTCTAAGTCTTATTCCTTAGTAAGGGCTCTGGGTCTCTATTGCAGCCCCCTCACTAGTGGCATGAGTTCCAGGGCTTAGGGCTGGCTTGCCTGCAGACGAGCCTCCACACTGATGGCAAAGAAGGGATGAAGGGTGTTTTCAGTTTAAACAAATGTATTCAGTAGCTTAAACAAATCTAAATGCAGGGGAAACTAAAGATATTTTTCTTGATTGTGAGGAAGCCTCTTGTGGTTCTGGCCTGGACCCTGGCCCTGCTAAAGTGGCTGGCTCTTGTTCTAGATCACCTTCCCTCTGTGGTCCTGCCGCCCACACCCTCACGGAAGCCCCCTAGAGCCACAGCTCCCAGCCTGTGCTGTGTGTAAGTCACTGTGGCATTAGGAATGATAGGTCCCAGGCTCTGTAAGCTCTGTCTCCGGCAGGGCCCAGCAGGGCCGACTACCAAGCATTCCAAGTGGTCCTAGGTGCAGCCAGGGTGAGGACCTGCTTCACCAGGGGTGAGGCCTTTCCTCCCATACCTGCCCATCCACTGGCTCTTGGTGACCAGGATTTTGTCTCTGCCAGTCCCTCTCCCTGCAGCCACATTCCTGTGGGCCCTTCAAGACCCAGACCCACCCTCCCTCTTCAAGAAGTCCTTTCTGGAGTCCCAGGTGGTGACTTTCGTCCCCATCTGTTACACTCCTTGCCACATTGCTGAAGGGCATGGTCTGTCAGCACCACCCCGGGAAGCTTGCCTCCTGCATTCCTGTCGCTACCCCTGGAGCAGAACCTGGGCGGCAGCTGCAGCCAGCTCTCCTCCACCCCCATCTCACGTACAGGGTGGCTGCGGGCACACAGCTCTCCCATGCCCCTGGGCTAGCTCTCAGGGAGGCCTGGGTCAGCCACAGCCTGCGTAGAGCACTAACACACCCTGTGGTGGCTGCTGGCGGCGAAGTCTGCATGTCCGAGATCACCATGGCTGCACAGTATGGATGCACCAGCCGACAGGAGGGTCTGGGGGCTCCTTTTGACTTGGGAATGTCCTTACCCCAGAGGGGTCACAGCTTAGCTCAAGCTGACTGCCCTGATTCTTACATATGTGTCTGGTTAAGGAAAAAAATGATAAAAAAAAAAAGTCTCGCTTGAACATAATGAGGTAGGGCTCTCAAACAGAGAGTGTGTAGGGGACTTGCTGGTGATGCCAGGGGCCTGCCCGTGTCCCCTGCCCAGGTCCTCTGGGCAGGCCCACCCACTGGCTGTTGGAGAGCCTGTGGGAAGCATGGCGTGCCCTCCTTTCATGGCTGTTCCCTGTCATCCTCCCTTCCCTTGAAAGAAAAGTTTTCACCCTGGGGTTTCTGGGAAGGCTTCCTACCTGACACAGCTGTGGAGGGGCTGCTGGGCTCCCCGTAGCCCACTTGGTTCACAGCCACAACCCGGAACTCGTAAGTCACTCCTTGCCTGAGCTTATCCAGGCTAATGGTGTAGGAAGTGGTGCTCCGGGGAATGTCCTTCACGAATGTGTCCCACAGGCCTTCATCTGCAGGAGGAGCAGGTGAGAGCAGGGTTAGGGCTGCTTTTCCCCCAGAAAAAGCCCTGTGCTGGGTGCCCATCCTGCTCCCTGGCTGGCAGCAGTGCTTTCCTGAAGGTTCTCTTGTGAATCACATTCCTGTCGGATTCCTGGCCCTCACTCTGGGCTGATCGCCTCCTTGCTTTAGGGGTCTGGCTCCCACCTGGCTTGCTACTGTCCCACCTGCACCCTGTCTCTAACCTGTGGCCGCCCTGCCTGACCTGCCACGGGACCCCCGTGGTGCCTGTGAGTTCCCAGCTGTCCTGGCTCAGTGGCCTGGCTCCTTGGAGGCCAGGGGTCCCACTGCATTCTAATTGGAGATGATGCTCTAGCCGGCAGGTGAAAGAGAAGACCTTCAACGGCAGCTTCCACACCAGCCAGATGTCATGTTCTCTGCGTCACCATGGGCAGGAGCTACAGAGCTCTCAATGCAAACTTTAAATAACCACCTTACGCTGTGCTCTCATCTGTAGTAAAGGTGCTTCAGGGCATGGGGATGCTGGGAATCGTGGGTCTGCATGTGCGCTGGGGCCCATGTTCCAGAGTCTGGCTCCCTCATCCAGGGATTCTGCCTTCAATGCCCAGAACAAACCCAACCAACACCCTCCACTTTGCTCACCCAACCTGCCTGAGATCAGTTAGTATCTTAATCTATGCTACCAATGGAAGTGTAAATTTGGAAAACATACATTGAATTTGAACAGGTACTTGCACACCTATATGCATAGCAGCATTATTCACAACAGCCAAAAGGTGGAAGCAGGCCAAGTGTCCATGAACAGACGAATGGATAAACAAAGTGTGCTCCATCCATGCAACAGAATATTATTCAGCCTTGAAAAGGAAGGAAATTCTGATACCTGCTACAACATGGATGGACCTTGAGGACGTGGTGCTGAGTGAGATGAGCCAGACCCAAAAGGGCGCATCCTGTGTGGTCCTATTCATCTGAGGCCCTGGAGTGGTCAAGTTCACAGACAGAAAACAAAGTGGGGGCGCCAGGAGCTGGGGGAGGGGCCGGGGTTAGGGTTTAGTGGGGACAGAGGTTTGGTTTGAGAAGAACAAGCTCTGGAGAAGGATGGTGGGGATGCTGCACAGAAATGCGAGAACTTCACGCCACTGACCTGCACACTTGTAAGGGTTAACATGGGAGATTTTATATATGTATTATACCACAATAAAAATACATATTGAGGTTACTTAAATCCTGCCATATAGGAAAACAATAAAATCTGAAATTAAACCAGAAAATTGAGGTGCAGAGAGAAAGCGAGAAGCAGCCAATAGATTTGGTTCAGAGGCACTGCCAAGTAGGGCAAAGGAAACCACCAGTGGTACTTGTTATCAAGATCAGAGACAGTAGAGCACTGTGGCCGAAGGGACAGAGCCTGGTAACAGACAACCTTAGTGCAAAGCCTGGCCCACCACACTTGGCTGTGTGACGCTGCACAGAGTACTTAACTTCTCTGTGCCTCTACTGTAGGATGATGATAAAAAGGCATGTACATCCTAGGTGTGCTTCAGGGATGAAATAAGTTACTACTTACTAAGGGCTTAGCGCAGTGCTGCATGCGTAGTACGTGCACTCTGTGAGTGTGTGTAAAGTAAAATACAAATCCAAGATTGGATTGGGTAAAATCCAACTCTATAAACTCCAAATTTGGTGAAAAGTAGACTCAGAGCTCAAAGTATCCATTTGAAGTGCTGCTCCTTTGTGAGTTACAACTTCCTCTACAGGGGCAGGTATGTGATTTTTTAAGGGAGCAGGAGACCTGAGGAGGCAGAGGGCATGCACGCCCACCTGCTTTAGGCAGCGCAGGGTTATCTGGAAGCCAACCTCATCACACACCTCAAAACACCAGCTCAACTGCTCAAGTGCATTAGCCCCACAGTGACAGAGGAGACCGCTAGTGCGCTGGCCCATATACACATAGGATTTGGGGTTTGTCTGGACTGAGCACTCCTGGTCACAGGTTAATGAAGGAGCGGATGTGAAAGAGGTTTGAAAGGCACAAATCTCCACATACGTGGAAGTAGTACAATGATTATTTATTTCTAAATGTTCACATTTCTAGTCATTTCTCACCAAGGTTCCTGTTACCACTAATAATACTAAAGTGACAAGCTATAGCTTAAGGGTATTTCTTCCCTTCAACTGGAATGATCGTATATAATTTACATTCTGAGTTTTGCATGGGAACAATCAGCATCTGGGAGTAACCAGCCCAGAGGATGCATTTTCTCCGCACCTTGAAGTCAGTGCACGACCCCTCCCTCTCTGCCCCTGCCTCTCGTGCACTCTGGCTTCATGCCACAAATGTGAGGGAGCTCACCCTTTGGTCAGGCCCCTTCCCCCCATCAGGAACTCAGCTGACATTCCTGCTCTCAGTGAGCTATTTATAGTCTATGGGTTGGAGTGGAGGAAAACCAATATGGTCACGTCCCCCCTCAAACTCCTCCTTTGAGGTCAACCTTGACCCCATGGCCATGTCCAGGAAGAGGTGGTTCTTTCTGTTCAGGGGCTTTCAGGGCACTTCACAGCTGCCTGTCTGTTTGCGTCAGTGAGCCTTCCAAATTTCCAAGAGCTCAGTAAGTATCTGTGGACACAATCCATCTCACCCAACCATCTGCTCTTCCTTCCTGCTTCCGTCCATCCGTCCATCTATCCATCCATCCATCTTTGAATCCCGCAGCCTTTCACAGGGCCTAGCACCAGCAGGCTTCCAGTAAATAACAGCCACCACCCTTTTATTTAGTGCTTACTATGAGCAGATAACTGCTCTAAGGGCTTTGAACATTGAAGGAATTGTGCAGTGCGTTTCCTCTAAAAAGATAGACAATTTTATGCCATCAGTGAGACTGAAGAAAAAAAACCACTCTTTTCAACTGGATGTTGCTTACAGCTATTGAAATGAAGGGGTTAGGAGTATACAGGATGTTCGCAGCCCATGCTGAGTAGGTCTGAATGCTTCGGCAGTCAATTCTCTGAAGGTCTTTTGCGTTAATGTTTCTGTAATGCTTTCCTGCTACTGAAGAAAAAAATTATTTCCTCTTCCTCTGCTGTCACCTAAAGGCCACGTTTTATTTTAAGCGCTCTGTCATAGCTTCAGGAATTGTGTGCATTTTTCATAAAAACATTTAAAAATATTGATACAGAATGTCAACACAGAGTGATTTATATAGCAATCCATTTACACAGAAACATGCTTGGGGGTGGCGGGGGGTCATACCAAGAGAGTTTCCTTCTGAATTAACAGAAGAAAATTGTTCACATTTCCATTCAGCTTAATTCTTCCTTTCCAAAATTAGCATGTTCAGCATTTTAGACTCCACTTATAATTCACTGGGCTATTTATCTATACTAGTATTTATGCCGTGATCATGAGTGGGTAAGAAAAACCTTGCAGCTGGTAGAGCGTCCACTTTGGTGTTGGTGGGAGGAGGTCCGTGATGGTGGAGTGAGCCTGAAGCACCCCTGTGCTGGGCCCTGCCTCCAGATGCCTGAGAGAACACCTTGCTGGCCTCTCCTTCTCACTGAAACACTGGGGGGTGAGGAGGACGTGATGCTGCAGGTGAGAAGGCAGGGAAGCTGCTGAGAAACACGTTGCAAAATGTTCCTAAATGAATCGCACTCTGTGATCACACCTAAAATCCCATCAGCCTGAGGAGAGACGTGTGAGAGCCCCCGTGCCCGGGCGTTGGCTGGCTTTTCGAAAGGATGATGCTCTGTCCGTGCCACCTTCCTTGAGTGATTGCCTCCAAAAGAGGGAAGCGGCCAAGAGAGAGGATCCCTGCAGAAAGAGCTGCTTCCCACTCTAGGGAGGTTTGCTACCCCAGATCATTCTTGTTTCTGGCCGACAGAATGAGTTGGTGCTTCTCTTTCAGCACCAGCACTCCCCAACCCTGTGTTAGAGGCACATCTGTTCCCAGACAATGTCCTAATAAGCCTGCAAACACCAATGCCTCTCTTCTGAATTGAGATGGAGCCCTGCTCAGGCACATCCGAGGGCTCCTCGCTCACTTTATCCCTCGAACGCCCAGGGCAGAGCATGTGCGGCAGGTAGCTGGGCAGATGCCATGCCAACACAAAAGTTTGATTTCATGGACAATTAAGCAGGGTCTCCATGCCGAATGGAACTGTCATTCACAACCTGAGATTTCTGGTTCCTCTAATTCACACAACCAGCAACATGACTGTCAGTCTGCAGCTCTGAGCACTTGGAAGCCTGTCAGTTGTTCATGCCTTAAACACTGCCGTTTCTCCCTAGGTAAGCGGTCAGTCCAGGTTAGGAATTTAGCAGAAACAGGAGGGGCTTAAATGCAAGGCTAGACACATCTGCTAAAAAATATTGCCTTTTATCTGATCCTTGTTTAAGGCAGGAGACAAAAATGAGATGAATGTCCAAATGCAAAGGGTGGCTATTATAGAGACTAACCCCAGAGAAGCAGGATGCAAAGGCTGACGCAATGTCACCAAACGTGGTTTGAGAAAGACAAGACAGGAACAATAGGCGGCTGTAGCCCTCTGTGGTTGCTGACTCGGGAACTTCTGTGGGTTTTTAAACCTTTGGAAAAATACTGATTTTCTTCTTTGTTCAATTGAAAAGCCCCATGGCCAAGGACCAAAAATGAATCAAATGAATGGGGAGGGAACAGGAAGGATCCCAGGAGGAGCAGACATGGACTGGGCAGGGTCCCAGTTGGGGACAGGGACAAGGGGCTCTCATCTCTGAGTAAAATAACATTATTTGTGAAAAAAACAATACAGGGTCTGCCTGCACTGGGTATATCCTCAATATGTATTTCATGGCTGCTTTGGAGAGGAAAATATATTTATAGTTCCTTTAGTGCCATTCCAGTCTATTGTGTAAATATGTAAATTAGGCTCTGTGAGCTACACAGTAAAATGCCTCCGGATAATTTGTGTAAATAAATCATCTGCATATGCCCTCCGCATATTCCACTGCCTTCCAGGGAACTTTGCAGCACCAATTTGGGGGAAATGCTCATCTGAGCAGAAAAATGAAGCTTTGGCAAGGCTGCGCTGTGGGGCTGAGGCAACGGTGGGCTCACACTGACCGCCCTTCTCCAGCCCAGTGCTATTCTCATGAGGGCTGCTCAGTTCTGTGTCTCTGCATCAGGGGGGCAATGGGACTATTCAGCAGAATTTGCAGAAGATAAAATGGAGATGCATAGGAGTGAGAGGCTGTGCTGCCATCTGCCCAGGTGGCCCAAGCCCGCTGGCCACCCTCTGGGTGCCAGGCACCAACTTGATGAGCTTCTTACCTGGGGGGGCAACACAGAGGTTTGGCTAGGTGGGAAGATGGCAGGCTGGGCAGACAGCCTGGGGCCCAGGGGTCACTCAGCCTTCTCAGATGCCCCATGGTGCGTGGACCCTAGCAGCTGGGTGACCCCGATCAGAAGTAACCCCCCTAATGGAAACTGGGGCCCATATACCAAAACCATGCTCCCTTCAGAAAACCTCTCTGCCTGGAGAAAGTCTTCCCAGAGAGCCTCGGTGCAGATGAGGAGGTACAGGCAGCATCTAATGCTTTGCACAATGAGGCCTGCAGCGGATGACAGCAAGGTCCAGAGCCTGGAGGTACTGGTAAGGTGTTAAATACTGACCATTTCACCTGACTCGGGGCTGCCGCTCACCCCAGTCATGGAAGCGGGTGGTATGTCTTTCTCAACTTTCCGTGGGAAAGCTGTCCCTGTTCAGGCCATGATCTGAGCAGGGACATGGCTGGAACCGGCTTTCAGATGCTGAGTAGCAGAACAGGAGCGAGAACCCAATCCTCAGTGCTCCCTGGAAATGACTGCATGCTCTGGGGCAGGTTCGTGTCCTGTCTCAGTCCCTGTGGGCCAGCCTCCCCATTCGGGGACCTGCAGAACCCCAATGCCCAGCTGGCTCAGGCTACTGTTGGAGCAAGGCCCTCCAGGGTGGGCTCTGAGCGCAACTCAGGCTGTTATCCGATTAGGTCTCATTCTCGCTGCCTTCCAGGACCCCAAAGCCGCACTTCTGACCAACAGGTGTCCTTTTCCCTCCATTACGGCAAATGGCTGAGAGTAGGATGACCTGAGGAGAAATTAAATGGCTCCCAGGCAAGCCTGAGAATCAATACCTTATTATTCATCTGAAAGCGCTGAAACATGCTCACCGGTGTTAAGATTCAAAGCCTACGCAGGCATGTGTGGCCGGTGGTGTGTTACATTCCCCACAGACTGATCTCTGACGTGAAAACGCTCATTTCAAAGATGCGCTGGTGCACTTGACTGAATAGGATAAGACCACACGTGGGATGTATGTGTATAAGTAATCTTGATCCAAGCTTTTTATTTTGAGATAATGGTAGAGTCCCGTGCAGTTGCGGGAAATAATGCAGAGATGTCACGTGCCCTTTATCCAGTGGGGCACAGTCACCCCGGGAAACTACAGCATGTCATAAGCAGACACGGTATTGACACAGGCCAGGTGGAAACTGTCACCCCAGTGACTCCTCCAGTGACCATCTTAACAGCCACACCTCCATCGGGATTTTCAGGGGGACAGGTGGCAGGTGGAAGAAATGTCCTGGTGAGAGCCTCTGTGTGTCACCCAGCTGACACCGATGGACACCTTCTCCGAATGGCTTTAGATGCATAAGACAAATCAACAAGGACACCAGCTATATAATGCTGACCACCAGATGAGGACGCTGGAAGTTAACAGCACTCTCTGTGTCCTAGTTATGCTGAAGGTGTGGCTCACGCGGGGTTTTCTTGTTAGGCCACGTGGCTCTTTGGAAGATGTGGTGGGGAGACTTGGATCTGGGTGGCCATTGTCCCAGGGTGACTTTGGATTACACAGTCCAGCAGGAGTCCACAGGTGACTGCGATTTCTACATAATGGCGAGTGTGACGATTTACTATGGTTGGAACGTGAAATGCAAGTCGCGGTGGCTTCTGTCACTGGCAGTTTCACAGGCACTGCAGTGACTTACATGGTGCCTACCTACAGCCATGGGTTGAACTTGTTGCCTCAAAATCTGCAAGACCTAATCCCCAGTACTGCAGAATGCGACTCTATTTGGCAATAGGGTCACTGCAGATGTAATCAGTTATGATGAAGCCATTAGGGTGGCCCTAATGCAGTATGACTGATGTTTTTATAAAAAGGGGAAATCTGGACATGTACACACATGGGGAGATTGTCATGGGAAGATGGAGGCAGAGAGCTGGGTGATGCTTCTATAAGGCAGGGACTCCCAAAGGCAGCCAGCAGCCCCCTGAGGAGTGGAGAGGCCTGGGACAGAGCCCCCCTCTGGGCCCCAGAAGGACCCACTTGCCCCACCACGACCTGACCAGCAGCCTCCAGGACGGGGAGACAACACTTTCTGTTGCCGAAGGTGCCCAGTGTGTGGTGCGTGGCTGCAGCAGCCCGAGCAAATGGATATGCCTAGGTTGTGAGGGAAGGAAATGTGAACTTTCAGTTAGAGATCAGTGAAAATAAAAATGTATTTTTTTCCCAGTCAAGTTCATGGACTCCTGAATTCTCTCATTAACCCCCTGGTGGGCCTGAAGAGTTCACAAGGGAACCTTTGCAGTGAACGCTCCCCTTAGATTGGGGAGCAAACCTCTCGAGCTGTTCCTTTGGGTTAGTGAGCCCCCCGCAGCCCTTGGTGGTGTCCCAGACCTCACCAGGACATTGTGCACAGCCCTTGTCTCTCCCCAAAAGCTCCTGACTTGGATGCCATCAGCAGACAGCTGGTTGGTTATTCTAGGGGCCATCTGCTTTCAGAGGTGTGGGGAACCAAGTGGCCACTGAAGGCCCCTGCTGAGCCCAGGCCTGTCACCAATTTGGGACCCTCCGTTTTCAGAGTAGGCCGAATGCCTTGCTCAACAGACACTATCAGGATCCTCCAGGCTGGCAGGCTGAGTGTGTGAGTTCTTGAGCCACACAATTTTTCATATTGCCTGTAACAGACCTTTTTTTGGTCTTATGTACCAGATTTCTCTTTAGAGTAAGTAAGGCAACAACTAGTAATCTTTCAAAAGCAGTTTGGTGTGTGAGGAGGGGACTTCTCTGACACAGGGGTGTATGTAACTTTTGGGATCTGTTTGTATCTATCTCTTGGTCTATTAGCTGCTTTGAATATTGGACGAGAAATGATGCCTAGCAGTGTAGTCCATCAGGCAGGTGGGATTTGCGGCTCACTGAATGTGCCCTGGCACGCTGTGTGTTGTCATGCTCAGTTATTCACGATTAACGGAGCGACCGTACGGAGGTCCTGGTGAACACACTCAGCGTTCTCTGCACTAGGTGATACCTCCTGGTTCCAGGCAGTAATATCTGACGCCACCATCTGAAGCTCATTTCTAGGAATGCCCCACCTTAGTCAATAAAGCTGGGGGGAGAACAGTAGGTAGAGAATGGAGCTTAGATCTCATCTAGCATGAGAGATGAAGGTGCTGGGTCAGCCTCACTATTAATAGGAACATCCCTAATGGTCAGAAGGGTGTGCGATCTGCAAACACACAGAGCTGAGCTGAGTCCCTGGAAACACCCTGTGATCTACCCTGAGTCGAGGATGTGTTCAAGCATCCCTGGGTTCTCATACACCTATTTCTGAGAACAACTGTCACCCTCCTCAGTGGAGTAATGTGCCTAACGAATTCCTGTGAGATCAGTTGCATGTCCGCAATTGGGGAAACTGGGGGAAGGGCAGTGAGCGGGGAGCCTCATCCCAGCAGCACTGCCTTTGTCCCCAAGCAGCTGGGGACTGCGGACAAGGCCAAGAGTTCTGACACTTGGACTGTCGGAAACACCACCAGCTTGAGCCTGGCAGTCGGAGCAGGTGCCCGGGCCGCCCGCCTTACCTGAAGGCCTGGCCTCGATGACATAGCCTGTGGTGGGCCCCTTGCCAGCGTTTCCCTCTGTCCACTGTAGGGTCAGTTCAGAGGCCGATTTGGTGACCAGGACGCCTCTGGGGGAGCCCGGGGAACCTGTGGGATAACAAAGCAAAGGTAGGGTTGCCCTGGTCCGAGGGGCTCCTGGCCCACAGGTGGGGCTGCCTCTCTGGGCCCCGGCTCTCTGGGCAGGTGGCTCAGCCTGGCCCAGTCGTGCCTGTCTCCTCTGAAACCCAGGCGGCTGACACTGGCCTCTCGGGGGGGACAGGGAAATTAAAAGAGGTGCTATGTGCAGAGGGCCTCTGCTGTGCCTGGCCCACAGTGGGCACTTGTGAACCTCCATTCTGCCGCCCTTGCCTTGTTAAGTATTTAAACAAAGGACAAAACAGTTTAAGTGGGAACCTACATGGCGCTTCCTCATGAAGAGAAAATTTAAAAATTTTCTCATGTACCTTGTTTCAAAAACCAAATTTGCTTTTTAATTTTTCTTCCTCAGAAAACAAATCCAAACTTCACAGGTTTAACACCTAAGGATTGGCTCATCCATAGTGGACAAGTCTGCCTGCAGAAGTTCATGTTCTGTGCTTTTAAAGACACTATTGCCAAAGTGTTGCTGAGCTCATGCCGGCTCCGAAGCAGCTTACTGAGGGTGAACGCCAGCCCCTAAGGGGATGGGGCAGGAGGTGAGAGGCATCCACTCACCCTCGGGCGGCCCGGCTGTGACATTTGCTTGTAGCTCGGGCCCATAGGCGATGGTCCGTGCTTGAACGCGGAAGAAATAGGTCACTCCCTTGGTGAGGTCCCGCACCTTCAGCCAGCGTGGCCAGTCGCCCTTCACCTCCACTGTCACCACCTTGCTCACCCCTGGAGCCCCAGAGGACAAAGGTAAGAAGGTGCTCCATCAGAGGAGCAGCTGAGCTCCATTCCTGCACTGCGGGGACAGGAGAGTCACCCGGCAGGTTGCCTTCTTGCCTAGGAAGTATTTCTTACAACCCGAAGGAGTTGACGTGGTGGCAATAGCCAATTTTCAGCAAAGATAAGTGAACTAGAGTTTAAGCTTGATAAGTGGGTGCTGACAAAGGGAAGAGCCAAGCTTACAAGACGATGGGGGAGGCCCCCCCACTGATCTCCCTAATTACACCAGTGGAGGAGAATCTCCCTGCCAGTGGGCACTGCCAGAGGGCCACTGTCACCAGTGCCGAGGTCAGGCTCCCCTGACAGCCTTCCAGAGGGGGTCCCTTTCTACTTGGCTCTGAGCTGTAGCGAGCCCTGTGTCCCTTGCACAGGTGACTTTGAGCTTCCTGACTCACGGTCAGGGAGGGGGCACATGGAAGAAAGCACAGGAAACCCTTTGTTTTATTAAAAGGTGGGCTTCCTCTGTGGGGTCTCCAGCCTGACTGGTTGGACAGTCTGTGGCCTAAAGACCTCAAGCAATGTGGGAGAATTCATCCCTGAACTTTGAAGCAAAGATGAAGAAAAAATGTCACCGCAAATATGGATGGCTCAGTTCTGAGCAGGTTTTCATGTGTAAATGAGTAAATGAGGCAAATGTGTTGCTGGTTGTATTGAGTGTAATTAGAAGGTTGAGACTGAACATTTTGGGAGGAGGAGGTTATATAAGCAGCATTTTCCAGAAGGTTCTTTGGTTAAACAAGTCTGAAGATGATGCATTAAAAAAATTATGTAAGATCTTGGCTACAGAATTTCTCAGAACTCAACATACTAACATCTACTGGGCATGTCTGGAGGAGGAGGAGGAGGGACATGGCATTTCTGAGACTTATTAGTCAGCGGAGGAGCTGTGCCTGGGGCACGGTGCCTGTGGCCTACCACTGCACAGTCCACATACAGGGGAGGGGCTGGCTTCCTAAGGTACCCGTGGGTTGGCCTGCCCACGGCGTGGACGGCGTGCTGCTACTGGCGCCTTTAATCAGAGAGTAGGCCCAGTGTGCATTCTTACTGCAACATGGACCCATCCCTCAGAGGCATCAGAACCATGCCCTCTCATCCTGCAGGTCTCCAGAGTACCATGTAGCCGGGTCACCATTTTCATATTATGCCTTCTATAGAATACTGGTTCAGCAAAGTTACTCTCTTCCAAATTATTTCAGAGCAATTTTGGTGGCTTTTGAGTGATCTCCAAATTTGAATTTCTCCACAGAGGAACAGCCTGACCCTCAGCCTGCATCACTTAGGAAGGGGTTTCAAAGACGGCAACTGGCACACACACGACCATCAGCAACGGACAGATGGGGTTCTGCTGAATGTGAAGTCATTCTGGATAACAACCCCCCTCTCTTAAAATTAAAAACGTCTTGCTTTACTCCAGAGCAAATCCATACCCATGCACAGATCTTGTGAATTCTAGCCCACCAGGAGGTAGAGCTGGGATGGCCTTTCCCCCATCTCAACTATGTAAGAATCTTATTTAGTCAATTTTTAAACCATGTCACACTACAGAGCCTCAGGGTACAATCACATAAAATATTGCTGTTTAAAATAGCTTAAAAAACATAAAAATAGCTCTGCCATAACAATCACATTCCCAAGAACAGGGCTCAGCACTCCACGTGGCTTGATGCCAGGGGCTCAGTGGCTCCACCGTTACCAGAAGACCGGCTAGGGATGGCCGCAGGCCCCGCCCAGCACACGGGGCAAGCCTGGCCTCTTTCCCTGACGGAGTGACTGCAGGCCTGCCGCACTGGGTGGACGCAGTGTCTCTTCCCCTGGCCTGGGCTGGTGAGTGCCTGGCCTGGAGTTGGAGTTCTATGCAGGGCACTGGCAGGCCTGCGTGAGGAGGCAGGAAAAAAGGCCAGCTGAGTGCCTCTGGGGCCAAGTTGCTGTCTCACAGCCTTTTTTCTGTCTCTACCACAGCGTGTGCATGTGTGACGTTCACAGAATGTCTCTGGTAGTCTTCACTAGAGACCCGGTGCAACTGAGAGCTGATGTGATTCTAGCCCCAAATAATGATGCCTGGTGGTGTCACTACGCTTGCAACCCTCTCTCTGAGAAATGTATGGATTCTGGGAGGCATTTTAAAGGCTGAAAATTGTCTGGACACCAGTTCTACTTTCATGGTTTCCTTTTGGAAATCCTGGGTTCAAAGGGAAGGGGTGAGGGCCATGTTTCTCCAGGAGACCCCCCCAACACCCAAAGGCCTGATAGTTGATCCCACTGGTCAGCCACCCTCAGGGAGGACACACAGCAGAAGCAGCTTCTCTGGGAAAGAAGATGAACTCTGGCCAGGGAGGGACAGGCCCCCAGGTTGGAGGCTTGGGGTCACCAAGGCTGTGCAGCTGGCCCAGACGCTGGACAATCTGGCCTCGGCCAGGCACTGGCATGGCTTCCTGTCTCTGCCTTCTGTAAATCCCACTGGCCATGACCACAGCCCAACCTGAGCTCCTGGATGCTCTGCTACTGATCAGAAGAGTCTCATGTTCAGCTGAAAGGACCCACATGCGTGTGTGTGCAGCCCCGGAGGTCAGAAAGCCCCAAAGTGCCTAAGGGCAGAGAGGGTCCGCCAGCCCTCCTGCTTTGCCTCCCACCTCCCTGGGCCTGTGCCCCCTGCAGGCCCGGAGCTGCAGCGCGTTTCCAGCTGTGAGGGGCTGGGCTAGGGTCTGGTGTCTGGCTAGCTGGGGTCTGGCAGACACCGTCAGTCCAGGCAGGCACATGCAGCACGCTGACAAGTGACACTGGTCTTGGTGGGGAGCAGGGCCACCTCCAGGAAGTCAAGGGTCAGCTGGGCCCTTGGGAGCAGGGTTGGGGAGTTCTGCTCCTGGGGAGGCCGGGAGGCTGAGGGGTGGGAGGCCGGGAGGCTGAGGGGTGGGAGGCCTGTGGCCATCCTCACCTGCAGCTGGAGAAGAGACAGCGCTGTGGGGGGCATGGTGCCTGTAGCTTGAGTGAAGAGGCTGGCTCTGTTTGGCTCAGTGGGAGTCTGGAGCTCAGGGGCAGTGCTGCTAGGCCATCAGCCAGGGCTGAATGTTTCCTGTCACCAGTGCCGAGGGGCAGCCCCCACCCTACAGTGGCCACTGGGCAGAGAAGCAGGACTCCGTAAGCCTGGGGTGTGTCCACGCCACCAACACTCAAAATCTGGGGGTCTGATGATTTGCTGTTTTTGGGTCCCAAAGAGCCCTGAGAATCTGGTCAATATCTCACTGGCTGAGTGAAGGGTGAGCCGCTGAGCCCTCCCGCTCTGACCTCAGAATGCAGCACATTCACCACAAGCCAGGGAAGCCCAGGCTGAAAGAACCAGTCCTCCCAGCAGATAAGAGAGATGGTGCTGGTGCTGGTGGTTATTTAGGGAAAGAGGCAAAAGTGGTTGTGACCCAAGTGACTCCTGTCGCCAGTCAGAATAAGCCCCATGTGTGGCAGGCGGCCAGGGTGTGGCAGGCTCGAGTTGCTCCTTGTCTCCTGCCTGTGATGTTCATAGCACCCATCAGTTTGGACCTTGGCTCTGGAACCAGACTGCGGGGTTCAAATCCTAGCCCTCTGCAAGCCCTGGGGGTGGGTGGGCGTGGAGGAGCCGGTCCGGAGGGGTGGCACCAGCCAACTTCCGGGGGCCCTGAGCCCAGCTCTCTGTGAAACGAGCACGGAAGCCGGCCCTGCAGTGCAGGGCTGGGAGGACCTGGGGACATGTGTGAGCACTCAGCTCATGCTGGTTTGTAGTAAGTGTGGGTAAACGGGACCTGTGGTGTCCCTGCAGGACCGTGTCATAGGAGAAGAGAGAGCCACGTGTGGGCCACATGATGAGTGTGTAAGACGGGTCCTCCGAGTGGTGTCAGCATGATGTGAAAAGTACAAGCACAGCCTGACAGCGCACGGCAGGCTGAGCAGAGCTTCGCACAGCTCTGGGAGAGCGTAAGTGCAGAGAAGAGGGGTCAGCGAGTGCCTCCGGGCCCCCAGCGTCTGCTTGGCGCTGGTCAGACGACAGTCTTGTCTGCAGAGCAAGATTTTTTACAAGAGGAAGAGAAGCAGCCAAGGGGACAGACCCAGAGGTGCACACCAGGGAGCTTCTAGAGTTTCCGCACACCCGTTAACACAGGGGGTCAACAGACTAAGTCACTTACTCAAGGAAGGGTGGGAAACTCATTGTCTTTGAAGAGGTAGGACTCATGGGTCACTCAGAACCATGATTTTTGGCAATTTTTTTTCATTTGAATGGCACTAGTTTATATCCTTGAAAAAGGCATTTGCAAGAGGGGCTCCTGGAACCTGTACAAGTGTGTGCGCATGTGTGTGTGTGTGTGTGTGTGTGTGTGCGTGTGTGCGTGTGTGTGCAGGGAGTACTGGTGAGCAAAATGGGAGCTTTCCAGTGATTCTCTGCCCTCCCCCCACCAAATGAGCAAGAACAATGGCCTGCCTCCTTCTGGGCCACTCTGCTGGGACACCAACTGCACCCATGCCCAGGCCACCTGGTCCCCAGACAGGAGCTGGGCTCTGAAAGGAATACAGCAGGGTGTGGCCACGCCAAATGAAGGCCGGCCTGTGCCCTCTTAGCTCTTTTGTAAGCTATATCCACACATCACCTGGCTGTTATTTACCAAAGTCCATCGATTGTCTGAGAGACTCTTATTTTTCCTCACATTCCCACATCTCTGATTTGGGCTGCAGCGTGGAATTGATGACACAAAAGTATTGGGCCATAGTTTATGGGAAGCAGTTTTTTCTTTCTTAGCACTTCATAAAATAACAATGAATCTTATAGTCAATAATGGCATTTTAGATTCGATGAAATAAAATCTAGTGCTTAAATTTTCTTCAAATCGACTCGCTGTTTTACTTGAATGTACTTATTTTAAAAGGAAACTTTTATCATGGCTTTAAATGGAGAGCCAATATTATTTGATGTGTTGGTTATATTTTTTCCTCCTGGGCATTAAATAATCATAATTTTTACAGTCTCCCTGTGCATATCATAGGGGAACATGTGACCTGGGCTTGCCTCCCTTCTCTAACCACAGGGCCGGCCACTCAGTGGACGAGAAAGAAATGCCCATGGAGCACTCGGTGAACACACTGGTTACGGAGCAGAGGGGCAGTGGGGACGTATGGAATTCAAGCAGTCCAGACACAGGTAATGCCATCGTCCAGGAGAGACACAAGCAGCCGCCTCCAGAGCCTCCCCAGCTGCTGTCCCTCCCTCCTTCCAGTTGGCAGCCCCAGTCTGGCCACTTCTCACCCACGTGCCCACTGCCCCCTGCTCAAGCCCCCTCGCCAGACACGGTGACAGCCCCAGCTGGTCTCATGCCTTGCCTTGGTGCTTGGCCCACAAGCTACTCCCCTACCTGTTGCATTTCAATTTCTGTTTCCACCTATTATTCATTTTTACACCCTTGTCATTTATTCTCTTAAGCTCCTTTGTATTCAAACATTTTCTCTATTCTGGTGGGTTTGTGTTTCTGATTGATTCCAGGAATTTTGGAGGGCTGAGGGATCATCTCCCCCCATGGCATATGGACAGTGGCAGCTGGCCTTATGCTCATGGGACACTTCCACTCCAGGTTCACTGGGGCTCACGTGGCCTGGCCCTGCCTGTGCATCATGGCAGCTTGCTTTGCTCTCTGCCCACTGCTTCACCTTTGGCCACAGGGCTGCCAGAGCCCTGGGCACTGGGGACTCAGTGGGGGGAGGCCTCCCCAGGACTGGCCGCCTGTGTCCTTGTTGCTCAGGTCTCCTCCCCATGCTCAGTGAGCTTGGGTCTCCCACTCCTATTTCCTCCTGGGCTGATGGCTACCAGGTGCTTGTTAATTATATGGGGGCTGCTTCTCTCAGCCTGTCCCATGCTCACCGGATTCATCTGATAGGCCAGTGAGGGTCCTTGCTCCCCTGGACCCACAGAATCCAGCATCTAGAGCAGTACTTGGTACACAGCTGGTGCTGAATAAACACCTGTTGAGTACGTGAGTGACTGCAGGGCAACTCTGGGGAAGTATCTGAGGACACAGGCTGCCAGCTCCTCTGAGGAGGCCCGTGGTGTGTGCGACTGGTCAGTACTGCCCTTGGGTTCCAACAAGTGGCAATCAGTGTGGCCTCCTGGGCACCTGTGAGGACTGAAATCTTGGGCAAATGAGTGAAATATACTGGGTGTTTAAGGGCCTAGGTCAAAGGCTGCACTTTGGTTGTGGAGCAGAGAAGATGGAAATGTAGGGAGTCAGGACAAGTGCTCCCAGTGCAGGCCCTTGGAGGGCTGGAACGCCCCATCGAGGCGCTAGTCCCAGCTCAGCCTGCTCCCTGCCTGAAAGGAGGCCCCGGGCCTGCTCCACAGGCTGTGAAGCACTATGCATCTGTGAGGCGAGCTGCCCCATGCCCCCCTTACCTTGGACAGGTGCTAAAGGCTCATACACAACACGATAGCCTTGCAGGATGCCATTGGCCGCCGCTGGCTCACCCCATGAGACGTTAAGTGTGGTGGAGGTTACTTCTGAAAACACCAAAAAGCTGGGGGTCCCAGGAGCTGGAAGGAGAGAACATAAAGGGACTTTCACTAAAGCTCCTTTATCGATCATCTATGTACACAGCTATGCCTCCACATATAATAAAAAGGTTATTAGATGTCATTTTCAAGAGAATAAAAGTTTAAATTCTATGAGATGAAAAGAAGATTTATTGATCATTTCTAGCTTCCTAGGATCAATCAGAAACATGGTACTTCCTGAGAATAGCAGAGCAAACGATGGTGTTTAAACACAAAGGAGCCTAAGAGGTGCAGTGACAAAGGCACAAAAATGAACAACAGATGGAAACAAATGAAATGCAGATCGTTCCTGTTTCTAGGGACTGCTGGAGGACTCCAGGGCACCCGTCCCGCTCTTCAGCGAGTGGCCCAGCCCCGCCACCACCCCGTCCCCTCCCACAGGGCCTGGAGGTCTCAGATGCCCCCAGTCCCGGCCCTGAACTCTTAAAGGACACTCTGAGCACCCCCTCCTGGTCTGGAGAAGGGGAGGAGCCAGGGAGTCATTGTGAGCTGGAGGAAGCCATTCATACATGCAGGCCAGGCGTGCCGCCAGGCAGGACCCTCATCTGCTCTGGCTCCGCTCCTGCCCGGGCTGTGTGCGGCTGTTGGCTCCCAGGCCTGCCTCCGCTGACTCCCCTCTACCCCGTTCTAGTCCATGCTCAAAGGCCCCTCCCTGCTCTCCCTCCAGGCCCTGGGTGATCTGCCAGCCTGCCATGCCCTCATGTGGCCCCAGCATCCTACTCTCTGCCCCATGGGTCCAGTCAGATTCTAAAGCCGGCCCTCTCAGGCTGCGGAGGCCCAGAGGATTAGACCCTGCAAGCCGGTCACAGTCATCTCGTGAGCACGACGTGTGAGGCTCCGGAGCTCCTGTTCCAGGAGATGGATCATCTGGGGTGTTAGTGGGGACCCAGAGAATGTCAGGGTCTGACAGTCTGAGTGACGCGGGTCCCCCTGTTAGCGTCTAGCCTTACTTCCCCGGCCCTGGATGTCCTGGGTCCTACAAAGTACCTCTTAGAGCTCCCCAGGCCCCCAGGCCAAGCCGCCATCCCTTTGGAATATCTGATCAGCTTTATGACATTGTCCAGGCCATAGGAAACTATGAGGGGCAGTGAGGGATGAGCAGCTGCTCACAACATGCACAGGGGGTGGAGGGGAGGCAGCAGCGGGGGACATCTGGCAGCCCCGCTGGTCCCCGCCCTGGGACCTGGCCTGTGGCAGGTGTCTAAGATGGTGGGTGAGCTGCCTGCAGGAGCTGTGCCTTGAGACCCCAGGGCTGTGTCCTATACTGTGGTCTGGGCTCGACACACAAGGTGCTCACTCTGAGGGATCTGGACATGGCAACCCTGGTAAGAGGCTCCCCGAAGGATCTGGAGGGGAGCCTGTCAGCTAAGAACAAGGCCTAGCTGCAGATGCAAGAGCCCTCTCATCTACTGTCCCACCTAACAAAAGGGTCCTGTTTTCTGTCCACAGAAAAACGTGCATTGGGCATGGCCATCTGACACTGTTGATTAGCGCTATGCACCAGGCCTGGACCAGGCAGCAGGGGACACAGTGATGCCAGCCAGTCCTGCCTCCTCAGAAATTCCCAGCGGCACAAAGGGTGTGTGTTACAGGACAGGCAGGGCGAGAGCTGTGGGACCAGAGAGGCAGGGCAGCTCATTCTGCAGGGAGGTGACGTGGGCCTGTGGAGGAAACACGCTGTTGTCCTACCTGCCTGGTGGGTGCGTGCTGGCCTGGGGCTGCTCTGGGGACTGTCACCAGCAGCATTGAATGCAGAGATGCTGACCAGGTACTGGGTGTGGCTGGTCAGGTTCTTCAGCTTCACTACCGTCTCGGGCAGGAACAGGACCTTCATTTTCTCCGTTTCGTTCTGGCTATCTGCCTCCCAGTAGTAAATCTGTTATAAAGAGCAAGAGTTTGGGGATGGCCTTGGGAAGGGGTAGCCACCCAAGCTCAACCCCCTCTGCAGCTCAGCTTGCTGGGAGTGGTGGCCACAGTGAGGAGGAGACGTGGATGAGGCCCAGGTCTCCTGGGCAGACTTTGCTCTGGGTGGGGAGGGTGGAGGTGTGAGGTCAGTGCTGGAGTGGAGGGAGGGCCTTGTTGCTATGTTGTCTGGGGGTCTGATGAGCATTTCTGAGGTGTTCTAGAGTCTGAGCCCTAGCTGAACAAAACACTGCTCCAGACTCCGTCTGAGGGTGCAGGGACACTGTCCTACAGCTGCCAGTCAAGCGCCTCCCCACAGCCCTGCCCCCTCCTTAGCCTTCCGGACAGAGGGGGGCCAACTACACCAGCCCTGCTGGGCCTGGGAAGGGCAAGCCCTCAAGCTTCTACCCTGGGCTCCCACATCTTGTTCAAGGTAGGCAGCTAAGCCTTGGCCAATGTGGCACAAAACTCTGGGTATTCAAAACAACCAAAACTAACATGGAGAGGAGAAAAGCCATGTTGAGGTCAGCCCTGTTTCTCCTGGATTCCATTTCCTCATCTAGCTTGTATGTGCTCATGCCTGAGTACAAAGGTTTGAAGTGGGTGCCAGAATTGCCTCTCTAGCAGCTGCCTGAGGACCCTGCTCTGAGCCAGTGCCAGCCACGCTGCCCAAGACAACACTGATCTGTGGTCTGTGGATGCACGTTGGCTCTGATGGCCAGACCACGCCGGGCCGTAAGAGCAGCTTGCCCCCACGGAGGAGCAGCACAGATCCCCAAGCCCCTTTCCTGCCCACACGGTCGCACCTGGCATGTGCTGGAGCGGCCCTGATGGAGCACTGCTTACTTCCACCTGCCAGATGTGGTCTAGCTTCTACTCTCCGAACGGACCCACTAAGATCCTCTGCTTGAAAAGGCCTTACTAACTTGAGATACATATCCAAGTTCAATGGCTTCATCATTAAGGAAATTAGAAAACATATTTTGGACATACATAAATATCACCTTGCCTCCAAGCTCATGGGACTTTGCATTACCTCATTAATCACTGTAACAGCCCTGCCATGGAGGGGAAGTATTTATTTCCATAAAACACCTACAAAAATCATTTTGAAATAGACATTTAATTGGTCCAATAGTCATCAGAGCAGGCTGGCCCAGAGCAGCTGATGACTGATGAGTTTGGGCCCCAGCAGACTGGCTGAGGCAACTCGTCCTGGGGGAGGATGGGGCGCTTTCCGGGATGGCACTGGCTTTTTTCTCCAGGGTGGTTTTAGCCCATCTCAGGCTTCTGAGTTCTCTGCACTTATCCATGGAGCTTCCTGCCACCCCCTGGATAAACCAGCTCTGTGTTTGTCACCTGATACTCTTGTTTGTAATGTCTGCTGCCTTTCTTTGATCCCATCTCTGAAGTATTTAGCTAATGTGGAATCCTAACAGTTTAGTTCAGTGGTTCTCAGAGTAGGGTTCCTAGGAACTACCTCTCCTGGGGTGGTTGTCACAAATGTAAATTCTTGGGCCCCACCCTGGACCTAGTGAATCAAGGTACTAAGGCACTGTCTAGAAGCGACCCAAGGGCAGAGCTGGGGTGGAGACCTGCTCTCCTCAGTACAGCAAAGACACTGGCGGATCTCAGAGTGGATGCAGGAGGGGGAGGTTTCCTGGCCAGGCCTGGGAGGGGGATGGTCCTGGGCACACATTGGATGCACAGCGAACCTGGCCCCCCACCTCAGGTTGAGAGGCAAGGCTGAGCTGAGCCTGCTCCAGCCTCTCTCTGGGCAGGAGGCCAGCTGTGTATCTGGGGAGCACAGAGTGAGCTGAGGGAACAGCCATGGAGAAGGGCCAGGACCCCGGCCTGAGCCCTCGGGACTCTGGGGAGGTGGGCTGCACGTCCTGCCAAACAAGTGAGCTGGAAGAACGAGGTGAACCATGCGAGAGAGCATTGCCTTGTAGCCCTGGATGTTCCCGTTCTGGCTCTCTGGTGGCGGCGGGTCCCATGTGACCTCCAGCTGGCTGGCCGTGAGCGGGTTCACCCGGACGTTCTGCGGGGCCATGGCCGGGGCTGGGGAAAGAGCAGCACAGGGTTGCTGAGATGTCTGTGGGTGTCGCCGGGCTCCTAATCCTGGGCCACTGCCCTAGGCTGTCCAGTTTTTATGCCAGGGAGCATGAGTTTTTTAAATGCATATGTTAAAAACTGGAAAATCGCAAAGAGAACAGTATATTGAAACAGAGTTAGCAGAGTGTTTGGAAACGAAGGTATGACTGAGCAATCAATGGGCACCGTGGCTGAGATGTGCAGCCAGGCTGGGAGCTGGTCTGGTGACAGCTCAATGCCAGGGGCTGTGAGTGGGGCCGTATTTGGGACCTCAGCACCCACTAGGACATGACAGGGACCCTGTGGACTGCCTGGGGCTGTGCCATAGGCTCTGCTGGCCCTGCTGTGCTTTGTCATGTTCATAATTGAGGGAGACGTTGTTTCAGATGGTACTTGGGGAAAATAATGGCACCTGTGTCCCTACCAGGAGTCCAGAAGCCCCTGTTGTGACGCCTGGTCCTGGATGGTGTTAGTCTGTGGATGCAGGGCCTCCCCTCAGGAGGGACGGCAGCATAGGTGTAACTCCACACTTCTCTGTGCGGCCCTAGGGCTCCAGATTATGAGGACCCAGCCCACGATTGCTCCTCCCTCCCTCCCAGCCGGTGGGACTCTGGGTGTTGGGGTCAGCAGGGCCACACGCTGCACGTAGGAGGCCAAGCCTGAGCAGGGGACGTAGTGACCACTGCCTTGGGCAGCCATGGGGAAGCTGGGATCAATGCAGAGAGCACAGTGCATGTGAAGGACAGTTCTCCCATCTATGTTCACCAGCTCCACATCATCCTTGAATTGCATGCCGGGCACTGTGGCATGGGGCCTGCTCTCAGCCACCTGGGTGCTGCTCCTTTCTTCTCCCTGGCATGCTGGGCTGGCTCCTGGGCACTCCCGGCTGTTTGGGGTCCAGGCTGTGGGAGGCAGAGGCCAGTGCTCCTCCCCACTCCTGCCACCTTCTGACTCAAGTCCATTTGGAGGCCATGCATGGCAACGACATGGTCATTGTCTGCGAGACACAGCCCAGGACACAGGCTCTTGGAGGAGGACTTGTCAGGAGAGAACGACCTTCGAGAGTCACCCCTTCCTCTGGCCTCCCTGCCCCCTACCCTCTCCTCTCTCCCCCCAGTGTAGAATAAAATAGTAATTAACACCCACTCAGCCTGACACCAACTATTTATTTTGTTCTAACTGTGTGGTTCCCATATTATCGCTGCCCACCCTGCCGTTAATGGAAATGTTAATAACCCGCACCAGGTTGTTGTGACAGATGCTCGGCCTCATTATCAGAAATTCTTATTTACCACTCCATTAAACAACAGAATCACATGAAAAAACAATTCAATCAAAACTAACTGGAGGAATTTTAACAGCCACATTAATAATCCAAAACATAAATAAAGTTAATGTCTTTTGCATGTTCGCCATAGGCAACTCTATTGCAAAATTACTGTTGTACAATTAAAATGTAAAAGGCAAAATTGAGCACGGCCATTACTCTGGTAGTCGGTTAGAACCATCTGTGCAGGGTGCCCCCCGCCCCTCAAGGTTTGCTCTTCAAAGACAGTGCCAAACCAGGGCCCACGGCAGGTGTAAGAGAAACATCCTCTGGGCTTGGATATCCATGGGAACCAGTGCACCCACAGGCTCCAGGAGCCCCCGGAATGCAGGGCCCATGTGCTCATCCCTGGGGTTGACATGTGCTGGACAAAGTCCTCCAGTCCTGCCCCAGGCCCCTGAGCCACACGCACTGCCATCCCTTGGCTAAGATGTATCCACGTACCCAATGGCTGGCTACCCCACAGAAAGCACTTTTATGCCACAGAAATACTGCAGGTAACAAGGACTTCTTTGATGATGAAGCAGCAGGGAAGAGGGAAATATGTGTAAACACAGAGCAAAGCATGCTGGTTTCAAGACTTATTTTTCTGGCTCCTGAAAGTTCTTGGGTCTCCACTCTGACAGGAGAACTTGCAGGAAGGCACCCCTTTTACAGTCCCAAATGTAATTCCTATTCATCATAAAGTATGTTCAGTTTGGTAACTGATGGGACATCTGATGAGTTATTATCATTTTGTCTCCCACCTTAGCATTTGTGGTGTATAGTGAACACAAATATCAGATCACAATGCTTTCTTAGCATATGAAATTAGTTTTATAAAAGTGTTTTAGCCCAGCCACCACTGGTACTGCTGAAACACAGATTGCCTACAAACAGCCCTGAAAGGTGGGGTGCAAAGGCTAAGGGGCAAAGTGGGGATTCTCTGGGCATCTCAGGTCAAGGCTGGTGATGCTGTCTCATAGCTCTAACCACTGTCCCTGGTGGAAATGCCCTTGCCACCCTGGCCAGTGAGCCGCCGTGATCCTGGAGAGAGAGCTTGCCAAGGCAGCAACTGAGGCATTCCTAGGACTTCTGGAGGTAGCCTGGGCCTCACAAGGCTGGTGATGCTGTCTCATAGCTCTAACCACTGTCCCTGGTGGAAATGCCCTTGCCACCCTGGCCAGTGAGCCGCCGTGATCCTGGAGAGAGAGCTTGCCAAGGCAGCAACTGAGGCATTCCTAGGACTTCTGGAGGTAGCCTGGGCCTCACAGTGATAGAGGAATTCCAGATATTTCTGGAATCTTCTGGGATTCTTGCTGATCGCTCAAGAAGGCCCTGCAAAATTGGGTTATGAGGGCTGGATGCTGGCAGGTAAGTCCCACAGTGCAGGAAGGGCAGCACTTTGTCTATGTTACCCGACCACTGGGCAGGCTCACTGCTGCTGACATGACTGCCAAATGCCACCTGGGTCAAGGAGCAGCCATGGGAACATGATGGCCATCCTTGGTCAGCCTGGATTTGCCAGTGAGTGGAGAGCACTGGCCATGGCCTTCACCTCCATGTCTGTCAGACACCATATGACCTGGTTCTCCTGGGCTGCAGGCCGTCCCATATCAGTGCTCAAACCACTGAAGGAAAACGAATAATGTCTATAAGGATATCTAGTAACTGAGTAGAGGCTAGAGTGAGTGTGGAATGCCCCCCGTGCTGTAGGAGTTGACTGCAAGGAGAGTGGCTGGTCACGTGCCTGGGGCCTCACTCGCCTGTTCAGAATAGCCCCTGCACTCCCGTGGGAGGGTCGGCCCCTCATATGGGCAGTGCCCATCCCAGGGGACCTACAAGTCCCCCCATACCTGAGCTTGGCTGATGACCCGGGAGCAGCAGTGACAAGTGGGCAGAAGTGACAAGGGCCACCTCCCAGCAGAAGCTTCCAGAGAGTCCCCCCACCTCTTCTGCACCACCCTGGGCCCAGCGGGTCCCACATGGCAGCTGATTCCACAGTCTGCATGGTGGAAAGAGACCACAGGAAGCATGCGTGATGCAGCTGACCGTGGTGGCCCGGAATGTCTGAAGTGAGTACAGTTGGTGGTTAACTGAGATTTGGGCTTATTTGTTGCCACAGCACAACTTGGCTGACATTTTCCTGCACATTAACCAGGCCCTAGGCTCAGGGCTGAGCAGCAGATCCAAAGATGCAGAAGGCAAGTTTAGCAAGGCAGGAACTCATAGTAGTCATAAACAGGTATGATGTGAGGACAGGTTCAAGGGACCTTGGAGTCATTTCTGGCTGGCAGACATGGGGTCTAAAAATGGGGAGGATTTAACATGTGACAATAGGCCAGGGAAGGAGGGGCAAGGTAAGAAATGGGAATGGTGGGGGGCACATCAGAGATCCTGGGTCTGTTGGCGTCATCCTGGAGCCACCCAAGACCTTGCCAGGCATCTGCTCATGCTAGACCAAGCTAGCTCAGGCTAGACCATGTTAGACCAGGTTAGACCACACCAGGCCATGACAGGACAGGCTAGACCACTCCAGGCCATGCCAGACCAGGCTAGACTACTCCAGGCCATGACAGACCAGGCTAGACCACTCCAGGCCATGTCAGACCAGGTTAGACCACTCCAGGCCATGACAGACCAGCTAGACCACACCAGGCCATGACAGGACAGGCTAGACCACTCCAGGCCATGACAGACTGGGCTAGACCACACCAGGCCATGACAGGACAGGCTAGACCACTCTAGGCCATGCCAGACCAGGCTAGACCACTCCAGACCATGCCAGACCGGGCTAGACCACTCCAGGCCATGCCAGACCAGGCTAGACCACACCAGGCCAGGCTAGATGATTCCAGGCCAGGCTAGACCAGGCTATATCAGGCTACATCAGGCTAGGTTTCTACTTTCACTTTTCTCAACCCAGTGATTTATTATTTGGGTAGAGCAAGTTTTCAACTGATAATTTGAGGATCATCATCAATATTTTAATATAATGAAAAAAGTATTTCTTTATATGATTTAAAAAAAATCACACATTCATCAGTTCACTTTAATTACATCAGTGTTTTTCTGGTCGCCTTTTCTGATTTCCTGTTGAAGCACATAGGAAATGGAATTCTCTAATGCAATTTACCTTCTCAGCAAACTCTGCCAACATCTGTTCCCCTAAGCTGGGATACCTGGAGACAGACTCCAGGTTGGGTAATTATTTAGCCTCTGGGGCCTTCTTGATACATGAAGGAGGCTTAAATGGATCACAGTGCTCCAGCTCAGTGGGGACAAGTCAAAATTAGAGTCCCGATGATGACTCAGAGCAGGAGTGCAGGACGGTAAGGAAGGAGCAGACTCTTAAAAGGCAGCAGACGCCAGGCTCTGCTCTGGGCGGGTGCACAGGGCACACATCCCCCGAGGAGAAAGACAGGTGACCTGCTTACAGGATCACCCTTCTAGCAAGCTAAAGCTCCCATCCCTCTGGAAATCTCCAGGGCCTTTGAAAGACAAAAGCAGTGGTGGTAACATTTAATTTGGCTGCTGCTGGAACTGTCACAACCCATCAGTGGGATGAGAACAGCAGCACTGGTGACAACATTGAGGCTGTTTTCCCCATGTCAGGTACAGGTAACTCTTCCAAGCCTGGGCTCCTTTTATCCTCTAGGAGGTGGTACGAGTCATTGTCCCATTACACAGATGGGAAGACTAAGGCCCAGAGACATTAAGTAACTGTCCAAGGTCACAGACTTGGCAAGGTTTGGATTTGGAGTCATACTCAAACCCAGGCAGCCTGGCCTCCTGCTAGCACAATTCCCAGGGGCGGACAGGGCACTTAAGGCCACAACCTGAGTTCCTGGAGCAAACTCCTCAGATGAACCACATCACATGCCAGCTGCCCTCCTTTCCTCTGAGCTCTAAATCCCCCAGTCTGCCCCCTTATCACCTCACTGCTAAGCCAGAACCAAGAACAACTATAAGGAAGATTAACAAGAAAAATCAGGAAACTGGTCACAAAAATGGTTTTCAAAAAAAATCAATGCCATGTATTCCAGGCTGTAGAAATCACAGATGGGAGGTCGTGGAAAAAGCCCTCGATGCTGAGTGTTGCTTTCTGGACCCAGCCTGTGGGACTTGAGATACTATTCAATCTCTCTGAGTCGATTTCATCATTTGTAAAATAAGAGAAAACACCAGACTTAAAGGGTTTTGGAGATGAAACGAAGTCATGTGAGAGCACAGCTGGCACCTGGAGCAGAGCAGGCACTCTGGAAGGTGAGTTGAACTTAGGTGTCATGCTCTGTCTCACTGAATCTGCCTGTGACCCCACCACAGAGGAACCCAGGCCCTGCAGCCTTAGAAAACCAAACCCCAGTTCACAGATGCTCAGCAGCACCCTGTCCCCAAAACAAGAGGGTCTTGGTAAGAGCCATGAGCCCAGGGACAGAAGAACTTGCTCCAAATAGTGATGGTCAGCAGGGGACGAGGGCACAAGGAGCCTGGGCTGCAGGTCCAGAGGGGTGATTGGGACATGGGGTTCAGGGCTGCAGCTGATGGGGTGTCGTCACTGCTCTATGAGAACAGCTGTTACCACCCCTCTTCTGGGAGAAGCTAGCAGAGGCAGGACTCGCGTGTCTGCGTCCACAGCTCCCATCACAGAGCAGGCAACACTTGCTTTGCCCCCACTGGTCCCCACAAGGTAGTTAGAGTGAAATGAATTTTGATCAAAGTGGAATAAAAGTCTGAATGAGCAGCCTTGGAGAAAAGCTTGCTTTGGAGCAGTCAGGTCTGCTTTAATGGAAGAGTAGATCAACAGAACGTGGCACATGCATGGGGCGGAGTGTGGTGTAACCAGGGGACAGCGGCAGTGCTGACAGGCTACAACATGGATGCACCTCGAAACACACCAGTGGAAGAGGCCAGATGCTAAAGGACAGATACTGCATGATGCCACTGCTATGAAAGCTCTGGAAGAGATAAGTTCGCAGAGCCGGTGAGTGGAGGCTGTGGGAGCCTGGGGAGGGGGCAGGGCTGTTAGGGAAGGTGGCTGCATGGGGTGCATGTGCTTAGTGCCCAACTGCCCACCTGAAATGCTTGGGGTGGCAGACGTCATGTTATGTGGGCTTTGCCACCACATGAGACAAGCAAACCCAGAGCTGGAGCCCAGGGCTGGACATGCAGCCCTAGGCGGCCTGGCTGGCCTGACGTGGCTCCCAGTGAGCTTCTGGCCTCCCTTCCTGGCTCCAGTCCATTCTCTGGACATCCACCCTGGTCCCTGGGATGAAGGCCTGCCTAAAGTGCTCCAGGCCTCCTGAATGCTGGGGTCTGACCCTGGAGTACAGGCTGCCCAGCAGGCAGTTCAGGTACTGGGGAGCCTAGATGGCCATCATGTGCTCCTCTCAGCCCACTGGCATGACCACCCCACCCTGGTGACCAGCTAGAGCCAAGAATACACTGGAGCACCCTCTCTTATAGATAGTACATGCCAGGTCCCCTCCCCACCTGGCTTTCCCTCTGCCTCGGGGGGCTCTTCCAGAATGCCCAGCCCTCACTCTGCTTGCTCAAGTAAGCCCTTGGGACAGACTTGGTGCAACAAGGCCACATAACCCATGCTCCAGGTGTCTCGTGTCACTCTTTCTCACGTGCGTACAGACCTTGCTGGACCATGCCAGGAAATCCCGCTAAGTGGACTGCGCCAGGAAGTCCTGCTAAGTGGACCACGCCAGGAAATCCTGCTAAGCTAGACCTCAGTGCTGCTGACTGGTTTATAACCATAACCTGTCCAAACTGCCAAAGGTGGCTGATCTTTCTGCAGGCTGGTCCAGCAGCCTGTACCTCCCTCCTCCTGCCAGGCGGGGTCCCTGGCTTGATGCATTGCCTTGCTAACTCTGCACCAGCAGACCTGAGCAGAAGCCCCAGGCCCTACAGATGGACTGAAGTTGGACTGAACACTATCAGCAGGGAGGAGGTAAGATTCTGTGGGCAGGTACCTTGGGCCAGAGGGGAGGCAGTGCTCTCCTTACCAGGCAGAGGACGGAAGCCCAGTCTGATCTCAACAGGACATGGCGTCTCACTGTGAGTTAGCCCCAAAGAAGGGACTCCGGGTCCTCAGACAAACTCAGGGACACACCTTATCTAAACAATGATCCATGTGGCTTTTCAGAACTTGAGAAGGGGCTGTTACCAGCAGGTCGCCAGGGTGTTGGGCCTCTGCCGAGGTCCGGCGAGGATGGCGGGTGACAAAGTACAAATGCTTGGCCTCCATATACCAAGGTTCCCACTACCTGGGCTCCCGTGGAGGGAACAGCATGGCTCTCCTAGAGAAGTCCTGGTAGTTCGACAGCCCCAGGTGGTGCACAAACCCTCTGCGTCCCAATGCAGGACTTGAAGGGTCACTCTGGTGGCTGGGGCATTCCAGCCCTGGTGTGTGACCCAGAAACCTCCAGCCTCACTGGCGTATGTTCAACAAGGGGGCCGCGCTGGGGACCTGACAGTGGCCATGCCCTCAGGTGTGGGGTGTGGGCCCTCAGGCTTACCTGCCTCGCCAACGAAGACCTCCACGGGAGCACTGGACGGGCTCTCACCAATGATGTTATAGGCCGTCATGAGGACTTCATAGCGCCGGTACCTCTTCAGATCTGCAAGGGGGAGATGGGGTCAGCTTGCCCAGGACTGTCTCCCTTTCTTAGAGCCACACTGAGGAGACACATGCCCTCTGAGGAGATGTGGGGCAAAGAGAGAGGGGGCAAAGAGAGACATCTGTGAGGTGTCTGCCCCACTACATCCCCAGCAGCATTGTGACCAAGCAGCCACACTGCACTGATGCCAAAAGATGCATCCCATTCTGCATTCAGGGAAAAGGCAACAGAAGCCATTTTGGGGGAGAGCCTAGGTCATAGGACATGATGTGGCCTCACCTTGGTCCAAAATGTCTCCTTCAGAGGAAGAACAGATGGCAATTTAAAAAAGAAATATATTGGGAAACCAAAAGCCTTTGAGTTTTTAGTAACCATGTCCTAGGAATAAAAGGGTGGGTGAAGCCAATGCATGGATATGGGGTAACCAGGGCACGTTACCAAGTATAAGTGACATGGTGAAAGTAGCTGATCTTCAAACCAAAACATTCTGGAAGGTTCTTCTACTGGTTAATATTGCTTCATCAGTAGCATGGCTCTCCTGAGGCCCTAAGCATGTCTGGTCACCTGCCAGCATGGTGGGGATGGCGACTCACACCAGGCCTTCCAGTCTTGCCTCCCAGTGAGCCGCCAGGTCAGCAGAGGGTCAGTGAGCCAGAGCTCTGCTGCCTTTGAAATGACCCACCCAAGGGGCTCCAGGATGCCCTCTGGCCTGGCCTGCAGCCTCAGCCCAGGGAAGTGAGCGAGCGGCTGCCAAGTCCACAGAAGGAGAGAGGTTCTTAGGAGTCACCTGAGACAAACCAGGTGGATGTGCACACAGCACCTGGTCAAGGCCACCCCTCTCACCCTTCCCAACCTGGGGTGGAAAAGCCCAGGGTGCGATCCAGCCAGGGACCCTTATCAGTGGAAGCTGGTCTGCACTTAACCCCTCCAGCTGCTCCTCAACAAGCTAAGGGCCCAGGTGAGTGCTGGGCAAGCACGTTATCAGAGATGAGTAGGTGGGGGGAAGTGGCTGGGTGAGAGGACAACAAGTGGATAAAGCAACCTGCAAGGAAGCAGCGTGGAGAATGCAGAGCTGGCGTGAATCCTGCTCCAGCCGCAGCTGGGTGGGGACTGGGATGGAAGGCCCCTCCCTGCCTCCCTCCTTGTCTGAACCAGTGAAGTTCTCTGCTCGGTGGTGAACCACACTGGGGGCCTGTTAGCTCTGTGCTCAGGCCTGGAAACCCGTCTCCCAAGCTGGAATCCGAGAGGAAGCAGCCTGATTAGTCAAAGGGAAGATGAATGGAGAAGCAAAGAGGGGTGTTTGTTTTCAACACAGAATATTATTCAGCCTTAAAAGTGAAGGAGGTCCTGCCTCATGCCACAGTGGGGGGAAACTTTGAGTAAAATAAGCCAGACACGGAAGGACAAATCCTGTGTGACTCCACTCCTGTGAGGTTCCTAGAGTCATCAAATTCACAGCTGGAAAGTGGGTGGTGGGGGTGGGGTCTGGGATAGGGAGTGGGGAGTCAGTGTTTAATAGAGATAGAGTGTAGAGTGTTGGCTTGGAAAGATGGAAAGTTCTGGAGATGGTGTTGGTGATGGTTGTATAATGATATGAACATACTTACTGCACCTGAATTAGACACTGTAAAGTGGTTAAGATGGTAAATTTAATCATGCCACAATAAAAAAAAGAGTGAAAAAAGAAGTAAAAGGGAGCCAGAGAGGAGATCCTGCCCAGACTCAAAGGCCAGCTGTCAGTAAATCTCCCTTTCCAGCCTCTGTTTCTAGAAGTTTCTTTTCCTGTCTCCCTGTAGGTTTTGGCATGCTGATAAGCAGCATTTGAGAGGGGGATTTCTGGAAACTAGAGCCATTAATCCAAGCTGGTTTTCACTTGGTCCACTGAGAGGCCAATTGGCGCTGGCCCCGACCTGCTCCCAAATCTCGGGGCCTCCTGCTGCAGGTGGTGTGCACTTACGTGTTAATTCATACGTTGTTAACGTGGAGCTGCTGTTCACGGTCTTGAAGCTGCTTTGGGCTATTGGGGGTAAGCAAAGGAGAGCGGCAGTTAGAAGGCAGAAAACGGTTATTGCAAATGACACACTGCAGAGACGAGGACACACTGCCTCGCTGGAGGCTGCTCTGGTTCCCACGCTGCTATCTGAGACCATAAGGACCCCTCAGCTGCCACAACACTTCCCAGCAGCTCCTTGGTCTGGCTGCACTTCCTCATAAAACAGCCAGGCCCCAACGGGTGGGGCCTGTGCTCACTCTCCGATTAAGCGGATCAGACAGTACCTGTATGTCATGGCACAAAGCAACACTAGAGAAGACACGGAAATCAGCTACTCCTGGGACAGCGGCTTTTCCAGAGACCCTAGGCAGGTACAGTGATCAGCTTACCTGAGTTCAGGTAAGAGCCTTGGCTATCTGAGAAGGGAATGAGCAAACCAGAGATGAGGGGAACTGGGATCTGGGCCCAAATGTGCCCTGGGGTCCTTCTGTTTTGTCGTTTCAAAGTTGCTACAAAGCCCAGAGATGCCAATTATTGTCTGGCCATCAGCTAGGGGTACCCAGGGTGTGCCAGGAGTGTGGGAGACACCCCAGCTGCTTCCTTCCATCGGCACCACACCTGGTGCAGGGCCAGGGCCAAGCTGTAGCCTAAGACCCCAACAGCGGAGGGGCCATGTGAGCACCAGGTGCTGCCCATCTGTGCATGTGACCCTCACAGAGGCCACTGCCACATCCAGGCCCCTCTGCTGGCCTGTTGCTGAGCAAGCCCAGGGAGGGGCCTGCCACTGTGGTGGAGGGCAAGGGTATGGCCAGCATGGTGGGGGGTAGGCGGGGCAGGGTTTCAGCTGCCAGAGTTTCTGAGGCCACGCCCTCACGGTTCCCTGTAGGAGGATGTCAAGAGTATTTTCTGTTACACCATCTGGGGGACGCCAGGAGGGAAGGGACACCCTTCCAAGGAGGGCATGAAGCAGCTGCCCCAGAAGTTCCAGAGCTGCCTTGGAGGCTGGTGGTTGATGTCACAGCCTGTGTGTGGGGGGACCTGATGGAGTGCAGCTAGCAGGAGATGGGGCCTGGGATGGGAGAGGCCACAGCCCCTCGGGAGCTGTCTGCCACTAGCTTGACTTGTCCCCCATCAGGGCAGGAGGTGCTGACTGGCCCTGATCTCCATCTTGTTCCCAGACATGCTCACCAAGGTCGAGGCACCACTGTCCCTGGTGGCCTGGCTACTCCCCCACCCTTTATAAAGATCAGGGGTCACAGGGCCCCACTGCCTTCCCAGCCACATCTGCCGGACTCATACAAGCAGGCCGCCTGCCCAGCCCCAAAACTGTACCTCTGCACATCTCCTGACCAATTGGTTTTTGGAGCCCTTATAAGTCACGCCTTTCCCATATGTCCTTGGTGAGGTCCATCACAACCTGTCTCAAGTGGCTCCTCCAGCCTCCCCTCATGCCCCACTGGGTGGGGTGCAGGAGTTCTCTGCTCGCTGCCACCTGTCTACCCAGTGGCTGCTCTGCGGGAGGCTGGGCTGCATCCACTCCGGGCACTATGCATTTCCCACCATGCCTTTCATGGAGTAGATGGGCCGGTCACCTGGGCACCTCCCTGCAATCCAGGCGGCGCAGTGTATCCTGGGTCAGTTCAGAAGGAGCAATCTCACCTGTGAGCTCAGCCCGTAAAGCCAACGGGGTTTTGAGTGTCTTGGTCTCGGGGACTGAGGCCGCCTCGTACTCCAGCTCGCGGTAGTAGATCCGGTAACCCTGAAGAAGGCCGTTCAGGGTCTCATCCCTTGGAGGCTGCAGAGACACCCCAGTTAGCCCGAGGGAGGGGCCTGAACCTCCCCACAAGTTTAGTTAGTCAACTGCATAGCAGGAAGTCATTAATTCAAACAGATGTTCTCAGTAGTTCATGGAAAATGAGGCAGGTGGCACATTCACAAGGACCTCAGGGGAACTCCCAGTACATAGCCCAGTGGTGGATTGTTTTCTAAGAGCCCAGGTTTCTGGGTGCGTGCATATGGGGACCTGGGTGTCTCATCCCAAGTGCAGCCTGAATACTTGAATGAGTCCAGGGCCTAGGTAGGGTACTGAGGCCCGGGACGGAAGCTGCCTGCTGAACCCAGAACTCAAAGGGAGTGAGGATGTGGCCTGGCTCTGCATCAGCCACTGTCCCTTCAGTCCCTGGCCACCAGGCTTGTGGTAGGCTCAATGGGCCCCTCACTGACCTATCCACATGCCAAGTCACCTGCACGCAGCCCGACTCTGGCCAGTGGCTGGAATGCTCACTGTGGCTGGAATCCCCAGGGCCCTGCAATGGAGCTGCCTTAGGAAGGGCCTGCAGTAGGGGAGGTGCTCATTTGCTTCCTGTAACTCAGCGGAAGACAATGGTGGGTAGCTGGGACCCCAGGCTCAGATCACCCGGGGACCTGCACCCCCACCCTGGCAGTGCTTGTTTGCCCAGGCCCGCCCAGTCCTTCCCAGCTTGGTTTCTGTTGATAGGCAAATGTGTGTGGGCTACAGTGGATGTAGCACCCACCCAGGGGTTAGGGGCTTGGGGTCCAGTCCTCCTCTGGGATTCTCAGCAAGGGTAAGACACCCCCGCCCCAGGCTGTGGCCAGACACAGGAACAAATAACATATCCATGACCCCTGGCTGGTAAGGTCATGACCTTGTCCAGGGTCAGAGGTGCACGGTGGACTTCCCGTGACTTCCACACAATCACTTCCATGGGATGTCACCAGCACCTCAGTTCATGCTGTCCTGGTCCCAGAGTAGACGCCACAGCTTTGTTGTAGGAAAACCCCTTTGTTGTGGGTTGAATTGTGTCCCCTCAAAAGATATGTGGCACCCTAACCCCCAGTACCTGTGGATACAGCCTTATTTGGAAAGAGGGTCTCTGCTTATTATGATTAGGTTAGGAGGTTACCCTGGAGCAATGACTGGTTCTGTTTTGGAGGACATTTGGCTTTGTCAAAGTTTTTAATGTGCTTGCTTTTAATGTAGTAATTACATTTCTAGAAACCTACTATACATAACTGTTTGCACATGCACAGTCCTGAGTCCTACAAATACAAGCTGGGGCTACCAAACCCCACCCCAAACCCAGAAACAAATGGCCTATGGGTCTGTTCAGTGATATCCAAACACACCAGGACTGCCTGTGAGCGTGAGGGGCACAGAGAGCAAAACCACTGCAAATGTGACTGTGGACTTTGGGCCCCTGAGTGCGAGTCAGGTACCGCAACGGTTGACTCACACAGGGAGGCTCCATGTTCAACGTTACCCATAGGTTGGTGACGCAGACAAAGCATATCTTGAGGGGCAATACAGAATCTAGCAGTTGTTTGGCAAACAGTGAGACAACCAGAAGACCCAAAGATCCTCGTAAGACAGGGAACCGTGGACGCAGGCACAGGGCAAGTGCATGTGAAGATGGGGGCTGGGGCCACAGTGAGGGGCAGTGATGTTGGGATTTAGCAGGGCGCACGTTTGCGCATGGAGGTGGCCACACATGCTTCTCACATACATTTGCTCTTAGGTCCGTGGTGCGTGACTCACAGCTCCCAGAACCCCTGGAATTTCTTAAGTGTTGGAAGTGACAAAGGTTTCTCCTGTTATGTTAATACAGCGACTTCTGGGCCCCACCTGAGGTTGGGGCTGGTGTCCAGGAGAACCGACCAGGTGATCAGAGGGCTGACCTTTCAGTTCCACCCCTGACCCCTGGGGAGGGGCGAGGGCCCTTAGGTGGCATCAATCACCAATGGCCAATGATTTGAGCAAATGACTATGTAATGAAACCTCCAGAAAACCCAAGAGGACGGGGTTCAGAGAGCTTCTGGGTTAGTGAAGAAATTAGGACGGGGAAGATGGGGAGCCCGGAGAGAGCATGGCAGCCCTGCGCTCTTCGCCTTACACATCTTTCCACCTGGCTGTTCCTGACTTACATTCTTTTACAATAAACAGGGATCTAGTAAGATGTTTCCCTGAGTTCTGTGAACTGCTCTAGCAAACTAATCAAACCCAAGAAGGGGTCGTGGGAACCACTGATTTACAGCCAGTCAGTCAGAGCACAGGTGACCACCTGGGCCTGGGATCGGAACTCTGAGTTGGAGCAGTCGTCAGAACCTTGGATCCACAGCTGATCGTCAGGGGCACAGGTAACAGCCTGGGCTCGAAGTGGGGTGAAAGGGGTGCAGTCTTGAGCCTCAGCCCTTACCGTGTGGGATCTGAAGCACCTCTAGTAGAACTGAGTTGAATTCTCCAACACCTGAGGGTCTGAGAACTGCCTGTTGGTGTGGAAGCCTCCACACACACACATTGGATTGGGCCCAGGAACCCACTTACGCATCTACAAGCTAAGGAATGCCAGGGGCTGTTGGCAGCAACCAGAAGCCAGGACGAGGCAAGGAAGGATCCTTTCCCAGCACCTTCAGAGTGAGCTGACACCTGGCTTTTGACTTCTGGCCTTCAGAACTGTGAGAACAAACTGTTGCCCTTACACCCAGTTTGGGATAACTGGTATGGCACCCCCAGGACACAAACACACCCTTGTTATGCAAACTCTCACTATTTAATTCCTCCTACCTGAACCCAGACCCAAAAGGATTTGGATGATGGGATAAATCCTGTTGTGTCTGAACTCTCGCTACTCAGTCAAAAACTCAGGAGCCAAACAGATTTGGGTAATAGTTTCCTTTGTTCTCTGTTCCCACAGAGTAGCTCAGACAGCAAGAACTACTTGCACGGATGCAGCTTGCCATATACACACTTCTGCACGCACAGAGGGACACGGTGTAATCAGGCGGGTACACCTGAGGTGCTTGTGGTGTAATCCAGATGCTTTCAAAATGAGAATTGCTAGTATGTTAACTCAAGCTAGGGAAGCCTGACATTCTCCAAAGATCCCTCCTGAGTCCTGTGTGATGCCCCCAACTCATGGAAAGCACCCCACATGGCTGTTTCCCCATGAGATGCAGAAAAAGCATAATGGGAACTTGAGTGGACTTGCCATGTTTTGATGACTGGTGAGGTTCCTTCCTGTCAAAGAAGCCCAGAAAATCCATATTAGATGATGCGTTTCCTGGCGCCTGGGTGTTACACCCAGTGTGTGAACTCTGGAGCAGACAGTCATCAAGGAGGGCCCCATCTGAGTCACCAGGGCCCCCCACATATGTGTGTCCACACTGGATGCAAGTCCTGGCTCTCCCACTGCTTTGCAGTGGGAGACGCAGCTGGTTGCTCCACCTCCCAGGCTCAGTCCCAGATCCAGGACAGGCAGAAGTCTGGCTGGCTGGTCCCTAGAGTACCTCATGGCTCCAAACAGAAGGTTCCCTGTGCACAGGCAGACCTGCTCTCCCAGCCTTTGCCTGGACCATGCTGTGCCTGAAGTTTCTGATCAGCACTGACTGGAGAGCAAGGCTGGTCTGTATCTTCTGAATTTCTATTGTCCCACAGCACCTGTGCTGGCCTTAAACACACAGGTGCTCCATCAGTGCCTGTGGGAGGGCACTCAATTGGCTGACATCCAAGCTGACCTGTTGCTGGTCAGCTTCATCCTGGACTGGTCATCTATGCAGGCAGATGCTTGGAAGGAGCTGGGAGGTCCTCCTGACATCTACACTCTGCCTGTTGCACATCTGAAATTCTCCCTGCAGACTCTTTGGGGGTTCTGAGTAATTTTTCAGTGTTCAAAAGCCCTCTGTTAAATGCAGATGGCCTTGTAGGAGAGCATGTGGGCACCTTCACCCACGAAGCAGGCAGGAAGAGGGCAGTGAGCCAGGGAGGGCTTGGGAGGCCAAAGTTGGGCATCTTGGAGGCAGCAGCGTTGAGTGGAGGGAAGGGCATGGAGCTGGGAGGAGGCAGTGCTCCACCAGAAGCCTCACTCCTTCCTGCTACCTGGAAGGATAGGTGGGGTCAATGCAGGGGACTTCCAGGCAGCAAGTCCTACCTTCCCCACTGCACTGTGGGGACTTGGGCTTAGGGCTGTTCAGTCCTGCACTGAGGTTTCATGGTGAGTGCAGGCAGAGCTGGAACTCAAGTCCAATCTAATCCAACTGCCAATGTTCCTGCACATCTGAGCTTCTCATTTATTGCCCTGTAACTCCCATTCCCTGGTGTGTTGAACAAAGATTCCCTCTAATTAAGTGCCCATGGCTTAGTGGAACACAGGAGGCCCAGGGAACCTGGCTCTGACATGCTCCCCTTGGAGCACATGCTGCATCCTGGGGTGTCACACCTCTGGCCTTCACTCTGACCATGCGTAATAGATGTCTCCCTGCCCCTTGCCTGGGGGAGGCCATTCATCCTGCAGAATGCATTTAGTCACCTCCACCTCCCTCTGGTGGGGGTTAGCTGCTCCCCTCTGCTGTCTTCCCACTGATGCATTGTAGAACTCAATGTGCTAAATGGCCTGGGGTCTTTCTCGTTTACCTTGGGTGCTCAGCACCCTACAGGGAGCTGGTCCTCTGTAGATGATGGAGCAAGTGATAACAGAAGGACAACTGACAGTGACACCCCTCTTGGGAAGGCACCCATCCCAACAATGAGTCCCTCTCTGCTTAGTTCATGGGCATGATGTGATCTATTGCTCAGGATGTTTTCTTTGCTAGGAAACAGCCTCGAAATCCACTTAGAGAAATCCAAGCCACACAAGGGGTGCATGTGAGTGACAGTCTGTATGATACACTGCATTTCAGAACTGCCAACTTAAATGTTGTGACCAATTCAGAAACATTAATAGCTATTATGAGCTGTACTCAGTGTGAACTCAACACCACCACTGTCTAGAATAGACGCTCAAATCCTTATATTTCAAACAGCCCTGGATTCGTGAAAGGCAAAGATTGATTAACCTACTGAGAAGAATCAAACCTGACTGACTGCACCAGAGGAGCCGTTTAAGTGGGTTGGCAGCCTTGAAGTTACAGAAGTGTTTGCATTTTTAAACAAATTATTTTAAAAAAAGGCTTACAGGTGAAACATTTCATTTGGAATGCAAATCTATATTCTAACATAGTCTCTTTGTTCTGTTTGCTCTGATTTAGGAAATTACTTATAATTTTAATTATACTCCAATTGCCTGGCAGTTGACAGGCATTTATTTTTATAATACATTGTACTGATCACCTCCTGCTCTGGTTTCTTTCCATTAGTTTGTTCTCTTGGTCTCTGAAGAGGGACAGCTGACGGGTGCATATGCCAAGTTCCTGTGGTGCCGCTCCACACCACTTCACAGGGCTGTCCAAATGCACTGGAGGGCTCAGAGCCCGAGTGGCCAGGAGGCAGGAATGCTGGGGCTATGGCCTCATGGAGGCTGCATGGAGGCCGAGATGAGCCGTGGTGCTGAGCACTGTCTTGGCAGGGAGGAGCTTACCTAGCTCCTGGCAAGCCAAGTGCCACATGGACAAGGAGAACAATGATTTTCTAGTCAAGTTTAGCATAGTACAAAGGGCTGATCTGCTTCTAGTTGAGCACGTGTGTGGAGGGTTACAAATAGGAGAGCTTGGGGCCTTGATTTCCCGTTTTGATCCTGCTCCCTGCAAAGACCCTAATGCAAAGAAGGGTGTGGAGCCCTGACAGCCTAGGATCAGAGGCCTTGCAGGGACCTCATAGGTCACTTCTGAGGTTTTTTTGCAGAGGAGTCTGGAACCAGAGAGGGCTTTCAGAATCACAGTTGTCCAGTGGCCAATGGGGCCTGCAGCTGAGAGCCAGGCCCCTGGCCACATGACAGGCTCTGGCCGGGGCTCCCAGCTGCAGAGAGAGGGCTTGGTGACATGCCCTGGGCTCCCATTCAGTCCCCAGCACTGAAGCTGGATGCCACAGAGTGCCACAGCAGTGAATTTCCAGTTTTACCAGGGGACATTTGGAGGTGTACCTTGATCACCTTTAAAGGTTCCTGTCACCAAGAACTTGTCACCTGGTCATCAAGAAGAGGTAGAGTGTGGCCAGAATTGCTTGGTCAGTACGTGCACACTCTTTACAGAATCTCCTTTATTGAAACCCATTCTCCATCCCTCGTGTGAGCGGCAGTGTCAAGCTAGGTTAGGCTGAGCCATACGACATGGCCACTTTTGTCTGAAATGTGGTCAGATTTCATGACCCAACCTTGGGTAGTTAGCAGCCACCAGCTTTCCAGGTTAGAGAGCACTGTCACGGCTGGTGCTTCTAACCCTTCTCCCGGCTCCAGTTTCTTCTCCAGACCCTCCGGCTCCCATCAGCTTCAAGCCTACTCCCAGGGAGGCCATGTCTAAACCTCCCAAGAAGGCTGGTCTCAAGCAGGCTGGACCCCGAGAAGGCTGGAGGGCTGGGGAGTGCTCCCAGCTCAGCACTTTCCTCCCTGTTTCCTCTTCTGTGGCACCAGCCCCAGCCCAGCGGGGTCTCCACCCTGCTCTGTCCCAGGCCTGCAGAGCTAGGCTGCCGCTTGCCAGCCTGCATCCTCCTCAGGGATCTGTGGCGTTGATCTATTTAGGATGTGCTCCCTAAGCATCCTCTGTGTCCCCTAGCACTCCTGTCCCTTTCCGTCTGCCCCACACCCTTTCCAAAGCACCCCTTCCAGCCCACCTCTGTCCTCTCTCTGAGGCCATGTCCAGAACATGTCTCACCTGGGTCCCTGTGTTTTCTGACTTCCCAAACCGCCTCCCCTCCCACTGAGTCTGGATGCGATGCTGGCACATTCTTAGACAATTGCTTCTGCTGGAGGACTTCTTGCCCACACAGACCACTCTCTTGGTCCCCAGCTCACAGGCGCCCCTCCTAGGCAGACCTCACCCCAGTGAGGCTCTGAACACAGACCACAGCACCTGCCCTCCACCTCCCCTACCAGAGCCCCCAGCTCTGGCCTCAGGAACATCCCTTATTGGCCAGAGCTTTGACTATGCCGTTACCACCACATGGGTTCTGTCCCCTGGTCTGGTGTGCCTGCCAGGCCCAGCTGATGCCCTGTTCCTGAGCCCTGCTGAGCCCCTCCCTCAGATACTGCCTACTCTCAGTGGCCTGCCGTGGCTGTTCTGCCCCTCTGTTAGGTTTGTCCTCAATGCCCCTCATTGTTAGCAAAAAATACCCAAATTGGAAACCATACAAAGAGAGGACAGCATGCCCTTCCAATGTTGTGTTAGATGACGTTTAATGTCCCACCAAGGATTATTTGATTATCTAGGAGAACGTGCCTTGGTTTGACTCAATGCTCACTGAAGATTAAAGACTCAGACTTAGTGAGGACACATGTAATCCTGTAGATATTTTGTCTGGTTGCAAATGATTTCTGTAGAAAAGATAACCCCAAGGGCTATGCTTTCATTGCCCTTAGGACATGAACCAGGCTTGTATGGATCATGGAAGCCTGGCTTTGCCACCTTCACTCAATGCCCAGAAACCTTCCCTCCCTTCCCTCCCTGCCTGCTGGTCCCTCCTGGACAAGTTGAGTTCAACTTCACTCTGCATGTGCATGACAGTCATGCTCTCACTGTTCTGGAAACCACACTGTTCTGGAAAGCCACCGTGTTCCTTTCCAGTGTGGAAGGAGCCCAGGGTGTTGCCTTTGTCTTGCTCTCAAGCACCTGATGTGGGCCTGGGCTGCGCTGATGCTGAATGTCAGGAGTGAGCACAGGGCCATTACCCAGCAGCACCAGGGAGCCCGGGGCCTTACCTGCCACTGGATCAGAACAGAGGAAGTGGTGTGCGGCGTTACTGAGATGAAACTTGGAGGTTCTCCCGGAACTGAAATCCAAGGAAGAAGAAGCAAAGATTAGGTGGCTGCATTTGCGCCTGGGCGCTATCCCGGGCCTGGCTTCAACCGATTCTGGTGAGGACCTAAAGGTCCAGGACTGCTCCCCAGAACGTGGGAGGCCCACAGGCCAATGCCCTGCTGCCCTCTGCTCCCTGGGGATGCCCTTCCCCATTTGCAAGGCTTGTGCCCTGGTTACAAGGCGCAGTCCTAATAAAGGTCTGGCACCACAAACAGACCCACACAGAGACACACGAATGCATCTGGGTCCCCCACTAGGAGCACTTATGCCACCAGAGGGACCCTGGGAGCCCCTGCCTGGGGGCCTTCCTGCAGGTCCTGGACCTTCCCAGCGATCCACACCCCTCCTCTGAGTAGGGGCATCATATTTTTGAGGTTCTGAGGGACTTCTGAACAGGCAAATGACCAAATAAGGCCATGTGCTCTTGGCTTAAACACGAGTGTGACTGTTGTGAAGGAGGCTGACTTCTGGTGGCTGGAGGGTGTCTGCTATGCTCTGGCACCAGTGACAGCTCTCTCTGTAGAGACAAGGTCAGTTTGACTTCTGCCCAGGGCTGTACCCTGCACCCAGGACACTAAAACCCTTCCAGCGGTTGGCCATGCCCCACAGATCTCTGACGCCTAGGCCCACCACTGTTCCTGCTGAGTCGGCACAGTCCTGTCTCAGCATATTGACTTGGCCTCTTTGTGGCTCCCCCAGTGCAGGATCCTGAGACCCGACACATATTAAATGTTCAAAACGTCATTCGGTGGAATGATTCAGGATGTCTGACAACTGTGTGCTTGCCGTACCCTCTCCACTCATCACTAAGACTCTGTCCCTGGGTCACCTGCTCTGAGAGGCTCCTGTAGATTTCTGTAGAAAAGATAACCCCAAGTGCTATGGTTTCATTGCCCTTAGGACATGAACCAGTTTTGTATGGATCATGGAAGCCTGGCTCTGCCACCTTCACCCAGGCCTGGAAACCTTCCCTCCCTTCGCACCTGCCAGCCCCCCTTGTCCAGCACCCAGCCCCTGGGTCAGGCTGGCCTCAGCCACACCCCAGTCCTCTCCTCTCTGTCTAATGCCCTCTGGCCTACTGCTCTTCTATCTCTAGTCAATAATGGACCCTAAGCCACCGTTCTTAATCACACCTGATTGGAATTACTTCAATATCCTAATCACCGTAATAAGAAAATGTTCAGCAAACCATCCACACACTCAAAGGCCCTCAAGGGCTCTCCAGTCCCTGGAGTCAGTTCCCTGCCCCTCAGTGTCAGCTGTGCAGGGCCTGGAGACAGTGCAATGCAAGCACGAAGAGAAACTGTGCATCTCAGGAAGGGTAGATAGCAGGAAAGGTGTATCAAAGGAGCGTTTGAATATCAAAGGAGTAACGCAGGCCTTTAAGCCTGGAGAAGCCCTCGGATGTGTTTTCCAAAGAGCCCATTCTGCTGAGCTGTGTCCTGCCCTCATACCCTGTCCTCAGAGACATGCCAACAAAATCAGCTTGCTATGTGGTTTCCTTCTTCTAAGAATTAGTGCTTAGTCACAAATATTACCTCAGTTGTGTTAAATGTAGGGTTGAAAGAGGAATCACAAAGGATAACTAGGTTTCTCGAGGAACATCTACCAATGCGGGGAGACTCCTGGTGACACACAGCCCACGGACTCTGTTCTGCTGGGAGCGCTCTGTGCACACCAAAATAACGTCTGCGTGTTGCTCAGAAGCTAGAAGGGGCCCCCTTAGCCCTTTTGCTGGTCCTTAAGGTCACCTGAGGCCTTGTGGAGGAGGAGCTAAACTCCTGGGTGATAAAATGAGCAGAGCTGAGGACGACGCACCTGGGAGCCGGCTGCAGATGGGTTTGTTGTAAGGCAGCTCCCCTGGTGCATTAAATGAGAAGCCAGTGCTCTAGGGTAGGTGTGGGGAATTACTGTAAAGCTCTGCTGGGCGGGTGAAGGGCTCAGGCCTGCAGTCTGGGATCTGAGCTGCAGCATCTGCAGCCTTTTCTGGTCCAGAAGTCTGCCTGTCATCCAGGACATGTAGGATGATGCTGTCTCCCAGTGCACCTGGGTCGGCAGGGGCGGCACATGAAATGACAACGGATGTTGGGCCTGAGTCCTCTGAGGGAGCACAGGGCAGTGAAAACCACCTGGAGTGTTTAGGGGATCTCATTTCCACCACTTCACTGTGCTTCTGTCAAATGGTGAAACTGTGGAGTGGTTTGTGAATGAGGAAAAATGGGGAAACCTCTTAAAACCCAACTACCCTTTGACATGTATTTTTAATAACCCTATAAATTATTCAGTTTCTGGGATGCTAATGGATCGTAGGGGTTTGGAAACTAATCAAAGAAACTTCCATTCCATTTGGAAGCCCTTGAAGTCTTGATTCACGGTCACAGGCTTTACAGGAGTGCTCCAAGCTGTCACTAATTGAATTCTGCTGCTCTCCCCCGTAACCTCTTCCTGGCTCAAGATGAAGGAGGGGCCTCTCTGTAGGAGCCAATGTTTCAGGGTTCAAAGGCCACAGCCGGGAAGTGGCCCAAGGATGTTCACTGGCCTGGGACCAGGTTGCTCACCGTCCTGCAGCGTGGTCACAGCCTCTGTCTCTGCACTGAAGTCACTGTCCCCGATGTCATTGGTAGCTTTCAGGCGCAGCTTGTAGGAGGTGAAGGGCCTCAGCCTGGAACACGGAAGAGACCAGTGATTGCAGTGAGGCCTCCCTCTGCCCTGCCCCCTGGGGCTGCTTCAGAAGGGCTTCCCGGCCCCCCCGGCCCCTGAGCTCTCTGGCCTTATTAGCCAGCTTAGTGGCAAGGAGGAAGGAGTCCCTGGGATAGAATTGCTCCTGCCAGCAGTGGGGTTGTGGGGGCTTAGGGGCTCCAGAATTGCCTGGGGAGTGGTTCTCCAGCACCCATACTGTACTAGTGGCCTGCCTGGGGAGGGAGGAATTTCCTCGAGGGGAGTGGAGCACAGAGCTTCCTGAAGGGGATGAGATTTTCCTTAGGGCTCCTTTGGGAAGAACCTCTCCTCCTATATTTAGAGGCTCCTCTGCAGCAAACCCCTGCTCTCTGAGGAGCTCAGAGAGTTATGCAGGAGGAGTTAATCATGTGGGTTGGGCATGGAGGGTGTGGGGGTGGTGGAGGGCATGGAGGGGGTGGGGGTGGGCCATGGCTTATAGTCCATGCTCCTCACATGGAGCCAAATGCAGAGGCTTGTAAAAAGGAGCTCCACATATTCCTTCACTCATTCGGATTACAGCAATAAAATCTATGAGTCCTGAACATTTCAGAAATGATCCGCAGCTGCCTTTATGCATTTCCTTATTTATCATCAAAGTACTAAAAATATTTATTAAGGACTCTTTTATTTGCATCACAAAGAACAATAAATATCAAACCCATGCATAACATCTTTGGCCAAATTTACCTGCTTTTTAATATGGCTCTGTTTTTAAAGATTATGCAGAAGAAAAACAAAATAAATAATCCAGTGGAGATAGGGCCGGCACATTGACTCTGACTGGCCCCATTGTTTGATGTGGTGACCCCTCTCGGCTGTGTTTGGTTTGGGCACACAGCAGGGTGGTGGGAGGTTGAGGAACAGCAGAATCATACATCATATCACTGAACATTCAACCATCACTGCTCTGCCCTAGACACACTGGGTGTGTGTCCACATGGCTCTGGGCATGGAGCCCTTCTCTCCCTCACTGGACTGCATTCCTGTGGGATGCGCCCACCATCCAGAAACCCGTGATGCCTCAACATGGGCCTAGAGAGCCAGGTCCATATGCTCTAGATGGAGGCACAGCCACAAGGTTTAGAGGGTTAAACCTCTTGTTTTCAATTTTTGTTTACATTTTCCTGTTTTTGGCCACTAGCAGATTTCATACAGTTGGCAAAAGTGAAATGTAAAAACAATGATAAAAAAAAGAAAAAAGGGGAATGTAGCTATCAGGACTGTTATCAGGGAGGGAGCTTATCAAGTGCACAATATGCCATTTCCCTGCGACCCTGCCTGCTGCGTGTTTGTCCCTCACAGCAGAGGTGGCATCTGTCCTGGCTCTGGCCATTGGGAGGCGGGCAGCAGTCTCTCCTCCACCGGATTAAATGGTCCTGAAACAGGCCTTCCTTTCCAAAATGCAGTCCTGGCCCTCGGCTGGCCGGCTGACTCCAGCAGGCTCCAGGACAGAATGAGTAGTTGGGTGTCAGAGGTTGCATCGCTTATACCCTGCCCACATTCGCACGAAGCTAAGCGCCCAGGGTGCCTCACTTGGCAGGGTCAGGAGAGTTCCAGGGCTTGGGGGTGGCCCCAGACATGGAGTGCTTCCTCCTGCAGGGCCAGGACCCTTGGCTTCCATGGCCATGGATCACGGGGTAAGAGGACTGCTGGTGGAACCCAGGGGATAGCTGTGATGATCTGGGATCGCCTTGTTAGTGAACTGCCCGCTTGCTGCCCTCAGTGCCCAGGCAAATCCTGGATGCACAGAGCTGAAGGGACAATAGGACCGTCCCTCCAGCCCTGCCCTTCACAGGCAGGAAAACTGAGGCTTTGTCAGCTCACACACACTTTCCTAAGACCTCAGGGCTAGTGGAGATCCGTGTTTGGATGACAACACACTGACTTGTCACTGCACCGCAGACCCTCACAAACGAGCTGGGCGGTTTGTGTCCATGAAGCTTTGAGCTATGGGCCCTGGGCATGTTGGAGCCAAAGCATCTGAGCAGCTCCTTCTTCATCTGGAGAAGCTGAGGCACAGCTTCATTACTTATGACGTCTCTGCCTCAACCTCAGTAAAACGGGAACAGCAGGGGGCCTGGCCTGGCTGGCTGCGGGGCTGTTCCAGATGCCACTGGGACAGCACACGCCTCTGCTGGAAATGCAGAGCGCCATCTCCTGGGGAGGCAACAGTGATGGTGACGTAATGAAGGCTGCACGGGGGCTATATACAGGCAAGGTCCTGATTTCTAACCCTCAGTTTTCATCTGTAGAATATGGACATGATATCCCCTTTAGGGGCCACCATAAAGATTCAAAGGGCTAACAAATGTGGAATTTGCAAGCACAGTGTCTGGTATGGTGGCTGCTGAATTGTGGTGTTTGAGTCTAAAAGATGTGAGGAATCTTGGCCAACCTGGGAAACCACGGTCTTAGCCTCCTCCACCTTAATCAGGTGCTGGTCAGGGTTCTCGATCCCACAGAGGGAGAGAGACTTGCTACTTAGCATCTGTCCCCATACTCGGGAGCTCAGCAGAGAAGGTCTGAGATCAGGGCTGACAACAGTGAGGATGCCAAGGGCCATTTCCCGCCCACTAGAGACTGGGGCTTCTGCAGGGTGACATGCCCAGCACAGCCTGGGGCTGGAAGACAGCATGCAGCCCCGGAGGCCTATCTAGATGCTCGGGCCTATGGGATTCTGGTGGTTTTCTCAGCGCCTCTCAGCATGAGTCTACTCGACTATGAGAAGGGACTCAGATAAGGTCATGCAGCTGAGAGCTGAGCTGTGGGGTTGGTGTTGTCCCCTATCCTGTGCCTGGGGTTCCCTTAGCAACAGGGTCAATGTGGTTCTCCTTTTTTGCAGGGGGATGGCCTCCCATCTCCCCATCTGCTGTCACCAGTGGGTGACAGTGCTGAGTGGACTCTGCCATGCTGACTTGGAGAGAGGACACAGAAAGGACATCTCCTGGCCCTCCCATGGCTTTGGCAGCTGGGCCCACCCCTCCCCTACCCCTTGCCTCTCCCCAACATGTGCATCATAGGGGACAGGACACTGGAGCTCACTGTGCCCATCACCTACATCTTGTCCATTCCTGGGGTGAGCAAACTATCTGTACAGGGCATGCTTGAAAGGACAGACCCAGGAAGAGGCCTGAGTGGGTGCTTAGTGTGGGCTCCAGAATGCAGGAATCCTGGGCCCCCAGGGTGGGACTGTTGGCCTAAAGAGACCTGAGCTCTCAGAGGTGCATCTCCTTGGGCCATGCAGACTCTGTACTCTGGGGGCAGGAACAAGTTGGGGGAGGGTCCCTGATCCCCAGGGCTGGTCCCTCCTGGCCTGCTCGGTACCTTTCAACGGCACAGGCAGTGGCTTCATGGCTGATGGATGAGGAGTAGGTCTGCCACTCTCCTCCAGGCAGCTCCCGCACTTGCACGGTGAAGTACCGGATCGGGGAGGCCCCATCGCTGCCCGGGACCCACTGGAGCCGGAGTCCACGAGCAGACACTTCTGCCTGGGGCACCAGGAGCTCTCTGGGGGGTGCTGGCCGCTCTGCAACCAAAAGAAGACACATCAGGGGCCTGTGAGAGGCTGCTCTTCCAGGAATGGCTCCATGTCCATGTGGTGCCCTTGGCTGCCATGATGCTAGACTGTGTGGGTTAGACAGTTTGAAGGTGGCTTCCTGGGATGTGAAGTTCTTACATATGACTTGGGACAGGCCCCAGGTTGAACCTGACTGAGACCCTAGCTTGCTCCTAAAACACTCCGTTCTCAGAGCCAGCCAGTGGGCTGGAGACGGTGAACCAGCCAGGCTCCTCTGGTGCTGCACTGTCACTCAGGCCCCCAATTGGCGCCTGGGCTCTCCTAAGCGCCTCAGATTCCTCTGGGCGCTGTGATACCAGGGCAGCATGCATCCTTAACTCCGACTTCCCTTCCCTGGAAGTGAGCCTGAGGTGTTAATGGCTTCTAGCTCAGCTCTCTCTCGGGCATGGTGCGTGGGGCCAGCCCTGGTGCTCTGGGCCTGGTGTGCAGGGTGGGGCCAGGACTTGGCTTCTGAGCTGGATCATTTGCCCACTGGCATGTCTCCTCACCCCATCGATTTCCATGGAGAAACTCCACAGAGGGAGGAATAATTGTTTAATTGTTTATCATGAAGATTATTGATTCTGATTAAAATGCATGGGATGTAATAAAGCAGCAATTGATTGCTGGCCCCATGGGGTCGGGCTGTAAGGAGCATGTCCCTCTAACTGAGCCAGCATGCCTTTCCCTAGGCACACACTCTGGCCCATGATTCCCCTCCCTGGTTCCCCAGGCCCTCCCCGGGACCTGCGGGTGACAGGCAGAGCTCTTCTGGCCTCTCTCCCTGAGCCCCAGGGACTGATGGTGTCTGCACTGGGGTAGAAATCATAGCTCTAGGGGCCTAAGCAGCAGGTGGTGCTGTGGGCCAGGGTCTCAGGGTGGGGCCCGGGCCAGGGGTGGTAGTGGGGGATGGGGAGGGGTGTGGGCGCAGCTCCCTCCCTATTAGCAGCAGCCCAGCTGTGGCCCTAAGGGGCGTTCATGTTAGTACTTTCACTTGGATTTGATTGAAGTCATGTCAAAGCTTTAGCAAACCCGTGTCCCTCTACTTTAGCAGCTCCAGGTAGGGCAGCATTAATCAGTGCCTACTTCCTGCAGCCACCCACTGTGCGGGACACACAGGGTCTGATCTAGGAAGCCTCATGCCCCTAAGGTCATGGCCCCCATTTGAGCCCATCTCTCCTCCCTCCGCCCTCTGTGACAGTGGATTTGGGCCTCGCATCTTACCTCTCTTCTCAGTGGTGATGACCGTGGCCTCCAGAGGCTCCCCCCAGCCCTGCCTCGTCTTGGCGGACAACCTGAAGATGTATGCTGACTCTGGGGCCAGCTCGGTGGCCGTGAACTGCCTCACGGTGGCGCCGACCTCCACCGTGGTGAAGGTGTTGGGGCGGCTGCTGGCCAGGCGGTAGGCGATCTGGTAGCCTGCGGAGGGGCACAGAGGGCGTGCCGTCAGTCATGCCTTGGTGCCCAGGGAGACCCTGCACCCTGTCACCCTGTGATCTTGTCTGCGTGGAAACCAGACATTTGCTCTTCACTGATTCCTTCTTCCTCAGCAGCCCAGGAGGCTGTCGTGCTGCTGAGAGGGAATCACCCTATGGTGATGGAGGGCCCCCAGGCGAGAGGCCCATGACACTTGCTTCTGCGTATCCTTCACAGAAACAAGCTGTGGAAACAGCTTCACCTTCCCTGTGGCCATTGTCATGTGGAGAGAATGTGGCAGGGACCCGGGGCACAGCCTAGCACTCATGCTCTTCCTGACTGGACCCCTTCCCCCACCCCATCTGTGAGGGCAGCGCCTCTGATTAGAAGGTTCCTCCTTGCACCTCCTCCAGGGGCACAGCCTGCAGGGGTGGCTGGTCAGTCCCCACTGGCTGTCACATGGTTATTCACATCTCCCCTCCTTCCCTGTCTCCGCAGCCCTGCTCTGCTCCAGAGCAGCTGCTCCACTGGTTTCAATTCCAGCCCATCAGCCCAGCTGTCCTGTCCCCTTGCTCCCAACTCCCCCCAAGAAGCCTCTGTGGTATCTTGAGCTGGAGTGTCCACTTAAAATGAACCTCCTACTGTCAGAGAAGCAGGAGGGAGCTTACTAAGCAGCTTGGGAGGGCTCCCCTCGGTCTGCATGTCTCTCCAGGTTCCTTGATTATCAAGGGATTGTGGCTGATCAGCTGTTTTTAACGAACAATCCTTTCCAACCAGGCCATGTGGAGACCCCCTCAGCCCGCATCTGAACAGGCAGTGCCAACATTCAGTCCCAATCCAGGACACAGCATGCTCAGCCTCTCTTTGGGCCTATGGACAACCGCATCCAGCCGCTAAGCCCCTGTGCTGATTAAAACCAGAATGGGCAGGGTGCCATGGCATCCACAAACGTTAGTGACAGAGAAGCCGCTCAAGTCAAATGAGGGCCTCTTAGGGGGACCCACAGAGCCGAACTCTGTCCTCTGTCAGCTCTGCCTGCACACGGGCCTCCTGTGGGTGGAGGGCCACCTGCACAGATGCAACTGCTCACGTGCATGGCACAGGGAGTCAGAAGTCCAGCACAGCTCACCCGGCTGCCCTTGGTCTGCTCTGCTGCTTTGTATTCCCTCCCGCATGTTCTCAGGCCCCACTGGTCACCAGCCTTCCTGGCGTTTTCCCAGAGCTTGCACTTTGTCGCCTGTGGGAGGCCGTGAACACAATTGCACAGGGTCAGCCATACAATGTGACCTGGCATTAAGCCCCTAGCCACTGCTGGCCCTTGTCATCTGCCCTGTCCACAGGGACTGCGGTTTGCAGGCCCCTGAATCTGGGTCCCTGTGTGGCCTGCAGCTCTTGTCCTCACCAAGGCCACCCTCCATCTCTGGGCTTCCTGGGTGTGGCCCAGCAGGCCTTGGGCCTCTGGCCAGGGTTTCCTGTTCCCTCACCAATGATGGGCAGTGTGGAGGTGTCAGGCCAGATCTTCTGCCAGACCTTCCCACTCCCCCTTCCTCCCCTTCCCTAGCTGTAGGGTGGGAGTCTGGGGTTTGGGTGTGATGGAAACAAGCCTGAGCCTTCTGAGACTCCTGGACCCTCGAGTCCTGGAAATGAGGACAAGGTGGTCTCTGCAGCAGCACGATGGGATCCTCCCACTGACTCCTGGCCATCCAGACCCTTGCAAGCCCTCACAATGGTCCCACCAGGTAGCATCTGTATCCTGACTCTTCGTGAAGCAGTAAAGCTCAGAGAGGGTGTGTAGGCAGCCTCAGGTCACAGAGAAAGTAGGCAGAGAGCTGGGACTAGAGCCCTGAGTCTGGCTCTAATGCCATTACCTTCCACTGGGTCATACAATTCCTGTGCAGAGAAGACATTCACCCTGATCCTCCAGCCAAGGGGATATAATCCCTTTACCAGATCCTGGTCACGTGAGACCATGTGGCCCAGCTGCCTAAAACATGCAAGCAGCATGTCCAGGAGAAAACAGCGTACTGCGAGAGCACTTGGGCTGCAGTCCAGGCCCTGCAGTTCTTGGCTGTGTGATGGTGAGCAGGTGGCCTGCCCTCTCTGAGTCTCCTAGACTGTGTGGTGGGCAAACTGGCAGGAAGTGCCCCCCCCACCGGGAGCACTGCTGGCTGAACCCTGTGGGGGTGTTCAGGAGGGCCTGGCTCAGGCAGAGCCTGCTCCCTCTGGGTTGTCATATGATTACAAAACAATAGTGGCAGCCAGTTCTCCACCCTCCGCAGCTAGCACCTCCTCGGCTGGGTGTGCTCGTGGCCTCTTGGTCATGGCTGCAGGCCTCTCATTCTGGGGCCTCTGGTCCCCACCTGGGTGCCTATGTGGTGATGGTTCTGCAGATGCCTGAGCATGGCAGCTCTGGGCAAGGGTGGCGAGCACCAGCCCCGGGCAGCACAGGGCCATGAAGCACGGGTGTGGTTGAGCTACTCCTCTGCATCCCTGGCCACAGGTCAGCCCGGCTACGGCAGGCTTTGTGGGATCCTGGTACTGTGTGAGTTCTGCACTGAGCTGGGCGGGGCAGGCCAGGGATAAACTGCAGCTCCTCTTCTATGTGCCTTTTATCTATGGCCTCCTGCTTCCTGGGGCCAAGAACTGCCCCAGCCCCAGAGTCTGTGGCCCGCTGCCTTCTATCTGGCAACAGCCTCTCTTGTCATGGAATTCATGTGCATCTTGGAAAACTAGGCTTAAGCTGCCTTTTTAAAAAAGGCATTACAATATTACATTAAAATGTTACTTTTTGAACCATGTTATATTCTTATGGCTCAAATGTAATACTGACCCAATACAAGTAGTCTGAGGCAAATCTTGTGCACCAGGCCTGAGACTCCCAGGCCCCTCTGCTAAGGCAAGACTGCTGCTTTCCTCTGGTGGGAGTCTGAGAATGCAGGAGCAGCAGTGTTTAGAGGGGGGGTGTTGTTTATGCACATGGTGACACCCTGTCCTACACCTTGCTTTTCTCACTAGCATCTCTATGCTGGGCATTTGCTTCATCAGATGTGTGAACTCTTCTGCAGGTTCCTTGTCTGTGTCGGTTCTTCTAGAACTTACCCGTGATGGCTATAGTTTATGCAATTTACTCTGTCTTCTAATTTTTCCACAGCATCTATGACTCCTCACTGAATGATGGTGAGGCCAACATGCCTCCCTTCTCTGGCTTGCCTGTCACAACTTTGAGTACCCGTATTCTTTTATGTGCCTTTTGTTTCTGTTTTCTTATTTACTAACTCTAACCTCTATCTTCTGTTGCTTACCTACTGCTATGAAAGTTATGTAAATGAATGTTCTTACACTGCCCCTAACCTCAACAGATCAGCCTCCAGCTTTTATGAGCCATATTATTATTTTTCTGTTGTTGCGGTTCACAGTGGGACCGTGGGTGAACAGCCATGCCCATTCAGCAGATTTAGAGTGGCATGTGGAAGAGATCAGTGCTTGGGTGGAAGTCAGCTAGTCCCAGGGCAGTGCCATCTGCATGGGGATGTGGCTCATATGCAGAGACTGAAGCAAGCCTCACATAGGACTGGGGTCAGGCAGCAGTCCTATAATGACCCCCATTTCCACCTGATTGCTGGAGTAAAGTCAGTCTGCATTCCTGCAAGGAGCCGGTGACCACTGTCACTGTCACATGCATATTCCTAAAGAAAGAAGCTAAGGAAAGATATTCTGTAAAGGCAAACCAAGCTTCCTAATCAGGCCTAAAGGCTGCACTGGCAGATGAAGACATTAGCAATAAGAATGTGACCAAGCACAATATTTTGAATACCTCAAGGACAGGGTGTGACCCAGTGTGAGTTCAGTCTTTTGAATACCCTTGCTAGTGATGAGGCGATACCAATCATCTCCCAAGAGGCAGAAATTAACTTTGCATTAAACACAGGTGACGCATGTATGTCTGGGACTTGGGTCCTGCCTCTGTGCACAACAGATTTCCGGGTAGGATGAGCTGAATGGGCTTCTTCTCCAGGGTGTGAGACAGTGTACCTGCACCTGGGAGAGCCAGGAGATGCAGCGATTATCTGACCACACGCTCCTCAGTGTCTGGAAACATCAGCCACCTGGCCACTGGTGCTCAGCTAATGCGAAAGGGCATGCTGATGCCCGTGACCGCGTGGCCCTTGTAGGCCCACCATCCTGCATGAGTCTCCATAGTCAGCTCTTCACATTTTGAAGGGTCACATTTAGGACTGTCACTAATTCAAGCTGATGTTCACCCTGTCAGTTCTAATCATGAGGGACGGTGGAGACGGCAGTGGTCATTGTCGTTCATTCCTTACCATTCCATCTCTGCACAGACGACCCTCCTGTTAGAGCTAAACATCCTGGGATGGCGTTAAGACTGGAGTCAAAGGCTCATCTTGGTGGATGACAGCATTTGAGGGTCAGACAGGAACCAGTCCCTGGAAGCCCTCTTTCTTGGCCCTGCTGGTCTGGGTCGACCTTCTGCCAGCAACTCCACCTCTGCCCTCCCGTCTGCCTCCAGCGCACAACCCGAGGGACCCTGACCTTGCCTCCGTCCCAGCCTGTGGGGGCCCCCTTTGTGCACTTTGCATCTGTGTGGCTGCATTCACTCCCGCACCCCCATGGCCTGCCCTGCCTCACCTGGCCTGGGAGGGCAGCTGGAGGACATGCTGCCCTGTGTTCTCAGGCTTTCTTGTGTGGGCTCCTCTGTGTGTCTCAGGAGCCCCCAGCTGCACGGCAGGTGTGCACGGCAGCCTACAGCCCCAGAGTGCCTCTCAGCTTCTCATGTCTAGCTACTGAAGGGGAGCAGGATGTGCTGCCCTGAAGCATGCCACTTTTGTGCATTGATTATTCTGAATTAAGTTACTTAAGAAACAGCCAGTGCAAGAAAGACGCTCCGACCTCCTCTGCCCCCTGAAAGCAGGAGATCAGTCTCCCCTGGGAAAGGTGCCGTCCCTGCATCAGGAGGGGGAGAGACACCCTTATGATCAGAG